GGGAAATTCCTTTCTTAGATCGCATCCAATTAGCGGTAGGCTGTTGACAGATGCCACGTGTGGAAGGGACCGATAGCGTCATTCGATCACATACGAAAAGGGCAAATTTAAATTTTGTTTTTTTAAGCAAGGTGTTTTGGAACAAAGCCACGGATTGTACACGCCCAATTAGAGACGTCACGAAGGAAGGAGGGAAGATACCGACCAGAGTCTCATTGGCCGAGGACAGTCACATGATACATGAGGGAGGAGGAGACACCCGACCAGAGTCTCATTGGCCGAAAGCGGTCACGTGATGTGCGAGGGAGGAGGAAAAGATGCCCGACCAGGACCCCATTGGTCGAGAGCGGTCACCTGACATACGAGGGATCAGGGGAAGCGGGCCCTCGCCTTCCCCCAGAGGCACAGTAAGGAAGTAGGAGTGAAAGTAAGAGCGATAATGGAAAATCCCTAATCAGAAATAATACGTCTTTAGAATTATCAAGAAAACCCTGGCGCCGACAGACCCACCCCAGTTTTTGACTGCCTCAATAAAAAGCAGGACCCCAATCGACAGAAATCAGTTGGAGCTGGGCCGCGGACAGCGAGGGAGCTTGAGCTCCGGGCGGCGGGCCCGGTTCATTCGCGCCTTGCGGGCAAGAGAATCCGAAGTGAAGAAATTCGTCCAACCCAAGCCGAGTGAATAAGCTCGTCCAACCGAAGCCGAAGAGAAGAAGTCGATTCAACTCAACTGACGGCGAAGAAAAAATCAGCCGTGAACGACAACGACTGGTAGAGATCAGCGCCCAGTGTCGAAACCAATCCACACCCCGAAATGCAAATTTCTAGAGAGCAGGCAACTCGAAGCCTTAAAGTTGTATGGTAGAAGCTTGGTGCCACAGTCCACAAAACGGGTCGGGAGGTAGGAATAATCTTGTGTAACGAGCAATTAGATATAAAAAAAGTTGTTACCTTTTTTTTTCAATATTTTTGACCTTGTGAGTTTTTATTTTTTTTAATTGTGTGTTATCACCCCGTTCGACTCAGCTTGCATACGGCCCAATCCCTGTTTGATCCCGTCTGTCTAAGATCTAATCACAACGTGGGTAGGCAGACCGGAGATCAGTGCAGTTACCCTGGTAACCAGGCGTTGGAAGCGGGTTGGGAACGACGAGGCTGGTATTCATCTAACCAAAGGGTTAGAACGTCACACTTGGAGCAGCGAGGAGCGAACAGCTGGCGCCGCGAACGGGATCGAACGACACAGTCGACGCTGCGACCAGGGGGGACGACGTCACAAAAAGATAAAAAAAAGAAAAAAAAACGCTAAAATTTCCTCTGCTAATCTTTGTTCCCCACTGACAAGAAAAACGAGATATTTAACCAAAATTTCGAACGTTCTAATAACGATGAAAAAAAATATAATTTAATAATTAAAAGATTCTTTGGGTTTTCACTTAATAATAACGTAAAGATTTTGACGATTTCATCTCATATTTTAGCTAATCTGTGGAGGTACATGTGTGTGCGTGTCCCTCCACAGAAAGCACAAGATGGCCGTTTCGTCTTATTTTTGGGACTCATCAACAGTGCGCATCCAGTGTTGAGGATTCTTCTAAACTCGATGAATTAATTCTGATTATTCAAATCCCCCTTAATTTCTCACTGCTTGAACCGGCTTCTGTTCTGGATGGAGGGGCTTGGGGATAGAAGTCGTGACTCATGGGGACACAGTCCGTTGGTATAAGTAGACTCAGATGAGTCACGCGACGGAATTTGTGAAGAGTTGGCGCTATATCGAGTCTGGTTTGTTACCTTCCCCCATCACCGAGACGCGTTGGTCCAGTGGGTATGACACTTGCGTCATATTGCAACGGTCCGGTTTCGATTCTTGGTAGTGGATGAGCACTACTGAAAAAATAGGACGAAACGACCGTCCACTGCATTCTACTGTGGATTCTTCTAGACTCGATGAATAAATTATTATATATATATTATTGTATAAAAAAATAATACGTGTGTGGATGTTTTCTGTAATAATTTAAAATCAGCATCTATATTAATGTTAGTTAGTGAATCATTGTTTTCAATCATATATTTTCATTATTCTTACTCTTTGTCTTACAAAAAGGAAAGGATTAACTTTTCTTAGCAATCCTGTCCTCCATTGAACTAGACAGTCAATTTCCAAAAAATCTGACATATATATATATTAATTTTTTTTATTTTACATTTAACATTGTTATTGTAATAAACATGGCTTCGTCAGCTCGTATTTAACCCATAGCATGCCAAATTTATCTCGCTTGTTGAATTTGCTAATTGTCATGCAGTAAAATCTGAACACTCCTTCAAACTGCTCCCGTGTTGAATCTCCATTCGAGATAACTCGTTTCAAATTCCTTGCTCTCTCTATTTTACCTTTATCTCTCTTCCATAGTAGATAATCTCTACATTAACTTTAACAAATTACTTATACACTGGAAGTACTCTATGAAAGAATGTTATCTGTACAATCATTGCACACCCACACATACATCCGGAGAGCGTATATAGCCTTATCGATCAAAGTTTTATCTTTTAAGTATAAAAGCGATTCATTTTTGCCATTCTCTCTTTATTTAAGCGAAAGGACCATTGTGAATAAGTCACTCCCATCGCGCAATAGAAAACACGTTCGTCACTGCTATTGAATTCTATCCTCCATTCTCACTCTATTATGAACGCGAACCAGAAAAACATGTGAACAAATAATAAAAAAAACTGACAGAACAATGATTAAACCACTTTCATTTTTATTAGTGTCATTAGGTTCTTTATTACTGTGACTGCGTGATAAACGAATCGAGAAATATTCCTACAGTGCGACGCATAAAAAGAAAACCCAAAGAGGAACAATACGTTTAACTATTTACATTCTTCGGACTGTTGCAATCATCTTTGTTATATTCACGATGTTTCGGCCATTGTACAATACGGCCTTCTTCAGGAGATATACTTTGGAATTTTGAACCGAACACTTTGTCCACAGGGGTAGGTTGTTCTAGTTCCACGTGCCATACCTTTGATGGATATCTTAGTAACTGAACTCACCAAGTTTTTTGTTCAACTATGTTGTATCCAGGTATTGAACTCACATGCCAATTTTGGATTACTTCAACCAACGCTTTTATCCTCTGGGCCATGTTTCCTTTACTAAGATGAATTAATTGAAACTTGCGATATCCCCCGCCAAAAAAAAAGAGTCATGGCAGGTGGAACTAGAACAAAACGCGAGGCTTTTCGAGACTATTTTCACAATCTGTTTACCAGAAAGCCCGGTGTAAGCCCTGCTCAGTTTTTTTACCTATTTGGTAATTTCAATAATTTTTAGTCCTAGGGATGAAACATTAGGCAGCCCAGACAAAAAAAAAAGGTTAGATTAGGGTCTTTTTTCTTTAGTTTTTCCCCATTAACTTGAGTACATTGTGTTCATCAACCTTAATTGTTGTCTCTTCTTTCGTTAGTTTATTCCCCCCCCCCCCGGTAGGTGACAGAGCTGTTAGCTCTCAAGTGGATGTGGGAAGCATTTCAATTTTTGGGGTATGTATTATGTATTGGTTGCTGTGTCTGGCTGAGTGTGTGCTTGAGTGACTGTTTCTTTAAAATGATTGGCTCATTTTTTTTTTCTACTCCCACATTAATTTTGCCTGGTTAACTGATGTTTCTGATACAATTTAGGGTGTAGGGTGGGGGGCGTTTATTATTAACATTACTTTGTTTAATTTTGTAAATAGGATTTTTTTGATCATTGTAAATAGACATTGAAGTTAGATTTTTAAAGATTGTTATATTTTCCCCTGCCCTCCACAGGCAAATTGTAGAAATGGGAACTACTTAAGATTTTATAGAGTAATCATGGTATTATAGTGACTGTAGTAAGAATGGTTCACATAAACATGTTGTTTTGGTGTTAGGAAAATTTAGTCAGCAATTGAGGCTAGCTCGGTTAAATATAGGACAGTTGAAGACCAGCTTTTCCCCATTCCCTCTTTGGCTTTGTGCCACATTTCCTGTATTTAACAGAAATATCAGTAGTTAATTTACTCTAATTTTTCCATTCTATGTATGAATATTTAATAAACTTCTTCCTCTTTGTTTCCTCTACCTAATCTTGTTTCTTCAATACTCTCTCTCTCTAACTATGGCCTTCCTAATTCTTGGCTATCTTGAACAAAGACAATGTTACAACAATTACTAACACTATTTTAAATTGCTTTGTAAATATTTCTTTTGATCATTGTAAATATGCATTGGGGTTACATTTTTAATGAAGTTGTTATCCCCATCCCCAGACAAACTGTACATATAGAGACTAGTTAGGACTACCTAGAGAAACTATGGTATTATGGTGACTGTAATAAGAATGGTAAGAAAGAATACATTGTTTTGGTGTGTAAGGAAAATTATGTTTGGATCCATGATTGTGCCTAGCTAAGTTAAATGTAGGACAGATGAAGTCCAGCCTTCCCTATACCCTACTGGTCTTGTGCCATACTTTCTTGTAAATAACAAGAATAAATATAAAATTTTGTGTCTCTGGTTAAACAATTTCCATTCAAAAGATGAACAAATATAAAAAGTTAGCCTTTAAAAAAAAAAAAAAAAAATCTTGATGCCAAATTGATTTTTGGAAATTTTTGTTTATTATGAAGAGAATTTTATTTTGCTTTTGTAGATGCACAATCACAGCCAAGTTCTTTGCACAAATCATCACAGGTAAAATGAGCCAAACGTTTCAGGTGACCTCCAAACCACAGTTTAGCTGACTTGGAAATTCTTTTGGATGCTGAAGGGAATAGAAAGGAAGCTGGAACCAGCAGCATCCATACATAGATACACTCACACTCGCACACGCACACACACACACACACTCGCACACACACAAACACCCACACAATCATTATAGAAGTTCCTTACATAAACAAAGAACATACACATAACTTTTTAGCATCACAGTTTCTTAAGGACTAAGCAAGTCCTTATGTGGTTTCCATTTGATTTTGTTTCTCTCCTTGCAAATCATCAGCATCCTAAATGAAAAAAAAAAACAGAAGAAAATAAAATCAGAATTTTGCTTCAAAGCAAAAACAAATTAGGCAAGGAATTATGAATTACCAAACACTTCCACATCTGAAAAGCATTTTTAGGCAAACAGACTCCAGTTTAACACCGTGTCATTTTTTTAAGGACAGACATCAGCACTACCAACAAATATTATATAACAACTTTAATAAAAAAATTACTTCAACAGATATTGGAATGCTAACACATAATAGAAAGTCAATTGCTTGTGTGTTATATTTTGGCACTTGTCTTGAAATTTACCGTCTTAAAAATCAATATAATAAACTCCTTTAAGATTTCTATATGACGTGTGTGGCACCATTTAACGAGGCAGAAAAGGAAAAGAAAGAAAAGAAGGCAGAAAGAAAGGCGAGACAAATCGTGGGTGATAAGCAGAACACACACACGGCTAAGAGACAATGGATATATTGATAAGTAACAAATGGCGAAAGGGCGTCATTACAATGACAGGGAAATTCTGAGTAAAAAGAAAGGGAAAGAAAGAATCAGATGTGTTTTGATAACGGCTGTGTTATCTAGGGGTACGTAAACAAACTGCTGGTCGACTGGCCAAAGAAAAATTCAAAGGAAAATGTTATTTCGATAAGTGACGAAAAACAGGCAACTAAAAGGACTTTGGACAGATAGGAAAAATTAATTGTATCAAAGCCACACACACGACCGACCGAATTCTTTCGACGGAACATCCTTGGCCTGCGATAATAAAATTGTTATCAGAAATATGCACCGAAGGGGAATGAATGGGAATTTAGAAATGTCTTTTCGGGGTGACGTTGGCCGTGTTAAGAAGACCACCCATTCTGATAATTGGCGATAAAATACCTGACGAAAACCACGTGTAGAACAAGAGTTATGACCGCCATTGTTCATATTGTCCCATTTGCGGCGAGAGAAATGATAACGGCGATTAAGAGGAAGAAAAGGAAAAGAAGGGATAATTTTTTTTAGTTAAGCAAGATATTTTTTTTTCTTCCTGAAACAAAGCCGCGGATTCGTCCACGCCCGACTAAGACATCATCGGTCGAGTGGTGATCACGTGACGCACGAAGGAGGCTGTTGCCGCCTCATCCAGAGTGTAGGTATGAGAAGCTGCTACGAAGAAGTGGGGAGGGCAGTTCACGCCCTCTGAAGTATGGTGAGAAGGTGGGAGTAAGGAAAGGCTCCCAAAAATGGAAAAAAGTGGAAATTCCTAACCAGAGAGGTGGATATGTATTTAGAATTATTGAGGAAACCCCGACACCGACAGACCCACCCCGGTTTTGGTCGGCGTCCATATAAGCGAAGCCCCAACGAGCAGAAATCAGTTGAGTTGAGTTCCAGCAGTTCCAGAAATTCAGTTCCCAGAGTCAGTCTCCAGTTGAAGCCGCCTCGCAGATAGCTGACCAAGATTCACGCAAATTCCGGACTCCCCTTCAACCCAAGAACAATTATTTTGAAGAGCGACTTAGATCCAGACCACTGAAATAAGTTTTTTTTTTCGACTTTTGTCCGAAGACACACCGAAAAACCAATTTCTTAGAGAGCAAACAACTTGAAGCGTTAAAACTCACCTAACGGAAAACGACGTGTCACAATCCATAGAACGGGTCGGGAGATAGATGCAGTCCTATGTATCGAACAACTAGACATAAAGTTTGTTACCTTTTTCTTTGATACTTTGAACTTTTTGAGTTTTCATTTTATTTTCTTTTATGCATATTTGTGTGGTATCACCCCCGTTGAACTCTGTTTGCATTACGGCCCCAACCACTGATTGATCTCGTCTGCCTAAGATCAATTCACAACATGGGTCGGCAAACTGGAGATCTATGCAATTACCTTGGTAACCAGGCGTTGGAAGCGAGTTGGGAATGACAAGGCTGATATCAAATCTAACCAGATTCCTACCCGAATCACCAAAAGGTTAGAATGTCACATTTGGGTGCTGCGACCGATACCAAGCCAGTTGGTCGTCACAGGATGAGACAACACGACTGACGCGACAGGCGGACGTCGCGTTTGGAGCAGCGACACCCGAACGAAGCAGCGAGGAGTGAGCAGCTGGCGCCGCGGTGAGGACGTCACAATTGGTGCTGTTTAGGGACGTCACAACTGGTGCCGTGGTAGACCAGGATAGGACATCACAGTTGGCGCTGCGACCAGGGGACGACGTCACACGTGTAACTTGATGGTTTTGCTATATCAAAGAAGCTTATGGCCACATCACGTTGAAGCACTGGTTCCTGTATGATCACCAAAGGTAAGCAGTGGCAAGCCTAGTCACTACTGAAATGCATGACCTCTTTGGAATACTTGTAAGAGTGTGCAGATGTTGTAATGGATAAAGGTTTGGAATTGTTAATTGAACAGCCGAGTTCCAATTCTCATTGGGTTTATTATTTTTACTTATGTGCAAATACCTTTGGGAAAAGTATTAATCCACCTCTTCTCCCCCAGTTATGGGTTAATTAGTAAGACTTGTATCACTAAATCATTATAATCTCAAAAAAAAAAAAAAGTTTTTACAATCTAAATATATTTTCTGGCTTTAAATAACCCTCAAAGGGTTGATAAGCCATAGAAAATAAATCAATCAATTTTTCAAGAATATGATAATTTCGTTTATAATATTGTACATCATTTATAAAACATTGATTGCTTTCATTTTGTATTTTTTTTACTTAAAAACATTAAATCTTTGAAAAATGTTTTCAAATTTTGTCAAGTGTTTGCTTAAAAAACAAAACAAAAAAAACAGTAAAAATCTTATTATGCTGTACCCGCATTAAACATTGGTTTGTTCTATCAATATTTTACTTACCTACTCTGATTAAAGAGGATATAATTGAGAATAGAAGTGTTTACAATTTTGGAAGCATCAACTAAAGAAGAGTCTTGTTTGCTGTAAATATTTCTCATACATTTGCTTCAAACATGACCAACATGTAAAAAAAGAAAAAAATCTGGAATTGTCACATACAGAATTTTTCATTTACAACTTTAAGTCGAATGAATTCATCGAAAGACAACAGCTTAAAATCTATGGATTCAATTTGCAATCTCACAAATTGAAAAGATGACAAATCTGTATCCACAAATGCATGAGGTGCTGCAATAATATTAATGTAGTAATTATCTGCTACATTAGATCAAATCGATGGGAACAATTTTCAGGAATCACAGAATGGCAAATTTGAAATAGAACCAGATTTTCAAGTAATTTTCAATAAATAACTGATTAATATCTTTTGTAAATCTATCTGTAAAATCAATTATTTTTTTCAATCTTAAATTTTTTTTATTTACTCAGATATTTATTGTTTTTTAATCATTCTGAATGAATAATTAGACATCAACTGAATCCATGTTCTTTTATTTATTTTTTTAAAAATGATACTTTTCTGATGTGCAATCATCTAAATATTTACTATTGAAGAAGAAATCTTTGATTAAAATTCTATCCCAAAGACAATTATACACTAGAGCATTCCATTATTATCTCATCATGTCAGATTTTGTTTTGCTTTTATATGTAATTTTTTTCTTGATTTTAATTTATTTTCATTTGTTCTTTTTTATTGAACATATCTGCTATTTCTTCACAAGTAATAAAACTTTGAATTTTACTTTCATTTTGATAATGGTTATAGCATATTCTATTGCAATTTTCCCATGAAATACAATAAAAACAGAATTTATCAATAGTGAAAATGAGAAGAAATGGCATTTAGAAAAATTTAAAACAGAAAATCAGTCACCCTATTGAAAGACTTACTTTGATACTGAAGGTGCACCCATTTTAACTGAAATGTTGGAGAACATGATATTAGATTTTGTTAATTTAATGTAGGTTCAACAAAAAGCCCTAGGATATCTTTGTTGAGCTGCAGGCACGAAAGAATGCTATAAATCAAAAACTTAAATGCATTGGCATAGTGTGCTATGGAATTCTCACTATGTCTATAAAATAACTGAGTGACAATTCCCCTACCCTAAATGTGTTACCTTCAATGTAATCCTCACCCTACATTCAAATCATGACTGTATTCTTTATGCTAAGAAAGCAACAACATTCTAAACTTAAAATGAAATGTCTCAGAGGGAAGAACATTTGCTCCAACATTAAGACTTGGCACTATCATTCTTATATTGCTAATGACTTTTGAATTTCTTACTCAGTGGCCAGATGTTTGATCTCAAGCCAAATTTAGTTTTTGCCAACAAATTTCTACATGCAAAATCTAAACAAACACCACTTGAAATATTTCTATGCTATTGCTATGTTTCCTTATAAGGAAACAACTAATATTACCATGTAGACTAAAATTGAAAGAAATGAATTTTTTCTTTAAAACATGGAAATATCTTTGTTACTTCATGCCACCACCTTGAACAAAATTCTCCAACTATAAAGGTGAGAAATCATTTGAGGCCAAAAAACTTTTCTGCAGAAAAAGAAAATGTTACACAAAATTCTTACCTGATCCTTGGTAAAATTTAAAAAAGGGTCAATATTTGCAGCCAGGGCTTGAATCTTTTCTAAACTGGCATTTGTGACATTTGACATCTCTCCTCCAAGAATACTGAAGCCTGGCCCCAACCTCTGATAGGAAGAAATGTTTTTATGCTCAGCATCAGAGTCTTTCTTTCCAGGGCTCAAAGTCATTTGGGCCTCCTCACACTGCGACATTAATATCTGTCCTGGTCCAGAAAAAAATCCTTGAGTTCTTGGATATTGGGAATGGATCTGGTTGTTGGAATGGGTCAAATGGTAATGACATGGCTGGTTTGAAGTCAAATAAAAATTTCGTGCTTTCCTTTCAATGTCAGGTTCTACATTAAAATGGCCATATGTTTGCAAACAAATCTGCACAACATCATTGGAAGCAGAGTAACAAAATGTCTGCAAGAAAAAAAATAATCAACAGTTGCTGATATAGTAAAGATCAGCAGAGGAATGACAAGACATACAAAATAATATAGAGGTGTGAGGGTAGGGTTTATTTGCTACCCCATCAATATAGCAAAATATGTAGAGAATCTGTATACAAGAACTAAGTTAATACTTAAGGGATTAAAAAAGAGGTTGAAAATGTGAAGAAATGCCTGAGTTTTCAATATTTATTGTAAATATCAAATTCATATTTACCCATGCCTTTTCCACCTCTTAATGCATTCAAATGGAGTGAGGGGTGATTACCATCTATTTTTTGGTTGACTACTCAATAGCAAAGACATGAGGTGGAGGCAGCCATGAATTTAAAAACAGGACATTTAAACAAGTAAAACAAAAAGAGAAAAAAAAAAAAGATGACATTACCTTCCCAGGCAGGAATGGAATGGTAAAATGGGTTCCATTCACTTTATGTTTCGTTTGTTGCATTAGATTATAGATAATTCCATCCTTGTGAAAGAAATTGGGAAATTCTTGGATGTAAGACCAAATGTCCTTGCCTTGCTGATCAGCAGCAACCAACAACTTGTCAGAGCCAGCATCTTTGGGTGAATAACAAACAACAAAATATTTAAAAAGCCATACTTCACTTAAAAAGCATCAAAATTATCAGGAGATATTTCTTGGTTAAATAATCTCAGAAAGAACCAGCTTGAAGAGACTAACTGTTGTATAATATGTTGTAAAGACAATAATGATTGGCTGACACACAGGCAAGACACTATTTGTAATGACAATGTTGATTGGCTAAAACAGAGCCAATAGCGGCCAGACATATTCCTTTTTTCCACCCACTAGCCATAATACCACAGTATTATAACACAGAAATTAAAGGTCAAAGGTTATGGTCATGATCAAATCATCTTTTTTGACCTTTAAACAAAAAAATAAATAGATCACCATTTAGATCTATCCAAGTACTATAAAATGGTATATAATTTAGCTTTGTAGGTGAAAAAAAAACTGAGATATTGATATTTAAAATTTATAACTATTTTCCAAAATGAACTTTTTTGGCAAAGGTCAAAGGGTCATATTTCAGGAACACTTTGACCTAGAGATGTAAAATAGGTACCATTCAATTCATATCATGAAGACCTATAAGTTTGCCAAATTTGAAAAAATCTGTGTCAGTGATGGTCAGACCCATGTTGAACTGACACAGAATTCTTTGAATTTAGCTTGTAAGAGAAATGATCAGAAAAATCACAGAACAAACAAAAAGAAAAACGTTTCTGAAGACTTCACACCACTCTTTACTTATTAAAAACTTTGCCTGGTTTAACATAAGACCACAAGTAGTTTACAATACCTGATATTTGTAAATTGTTGCTCATATAAGTACTGACCAATGTATATCACCTGACTTCTTGTTGTGCCATAGTACCTATTCTTTGGTAATGGACTCTCCCATAGATAATAAGTAGCAGTGGCAAGTCTGCAGGAACGGTGTTGAGCGTGTCAGTCGAGATTCAGACATTTGAAGTGCCAACCATCACAACTAGATTTGCTGCGTCATTGACTATTATTTTCCAAGTTCCTAACGTTTTTTACGACTTATTAGAAATACAAGCCTCCACTGTGAAAATACTCCACAACATTCTGGCGGCGAGGATTCAAACCCACATGGGAAAAAAAACGTTTATTTTAATTTAACCACAACATTTTTTCTGATGGACTTGTAATCCACACGGGAAAAGAAAAATTTTTCGTTTACTTTACTACAACATTGATTTTTTTTTAAGATTCATTTCTCAGACGGAGAAAGAAAGAAAAAACTTTTCGTACGTCTAACAACAACATTGGCGACAAAGGAATTCGTAATTCATAATTAAGAAAAATTTTTCGTTCACTCTAACAATTTTGGCGACAAAGAATTCGAAATTCATACAAAAAAAAAAAATAATAAGTTTTGCCATATACAACACTTTACTTTTCTACGAACGTATTTTTTTTTTTTCATACGGAAAAAAAAAATTGCGTTCACTCTACAACACTTGTCAACGTGGATTCGTAACTCATACAGAGGTGAAAAAAAAAATTCACCCGCCATGATACACGTACGTGGGATTGCATTTCATATTTTGAAAAATAAAATAAAATTCACTCACGTTATTTAGTGACGAAATTCATATTTCACACGGAAAAAAAAAAAATTTGCTCGTCAAATTTTTTCGACAACAACTTCTCATTCATATATAAAAAAAAAAAAAAAAAAAACTTGGCAAAAGTTTTTTTGAAAGACAAAACGTCAACTTAGTGATGGAAAAATCAGTCGTATTCTCAACTGAGAAAAGAATTTTATTTTTTCTCGATAAGACAGTTTGCTCAAATAGGTCACAAATTACAAATTCATTTTGGACCCCCTGTACAATATTTAAGTATTGTGTAAACTTTTTGCGAAGATGGAGGAATGCAAAAATATATTCCAGGAATTTTTTAAGTTCCAGACAGAACAGCAAAAGACTTTATTACAGCAGCAGCAAACATTCCAGATACAGCTTCAGGAGGATACCTTTAATAGACAAATGCAATTTCAACGAGAAATGGAACAGATGCATAGGGAGTTTCAAAACAAAATTCTGGAAATAACTGAGAAGAGGAAAGAGGAAAATCTACGAAATGATTCTTTCCCAGAGAATACAATATGGAATTCATTTGAAATATTCACATACAGTCCAGACGAAGAAATAACTTTTGAAGAGTATTATAAAAAATATACAGACGTGTATAACGAGGACTGCCACACGTGGTCTGAAGGAAAGAAGGTTAGACTTCTTTTAAGCAAGTTAGGAACTGCTGAGCATAATAAATTGGTAAACTACATTTTACCGAAAAAAACTAACGAGTTAACTTTTACGGAGGCGGTAAATATATTAAGTGAATTATTTAGTAAAAAGACATCTTTGTTTCACAAAAGGTGGAAATGTTTGAATCTGTTGAAAGAGGATAAACAAGACTTCATAACGTATGCAGCTAATGTGAACAAGCATTGTGAAGAATTCAAACTAGCAGAATTAAGCTCTGACAATTTCAAGTGTTTGATATTTGTCCAGGGTTTAGTTTCAGAAAGAGACGCAGAATTGAGGAAATTGGTACTTTCAAAATTGGAAAAAGAACCAAAGATTTCGGTACAGAGTTTGGCAGAAGACTGCACAAGATATGTTAGCGTAAAGAAAGACTCAAAAAAGATAGAACTGTCTGGCGTTTCGCATGTAAGGAAAATACGCTACAAAAAACAAAGTCAGTCTACCAAAAAGAATTCTAAAATTGCGGATTATCAAACAAAAAGTGAAATACCAGAAAAAAATAAACAAAAACTCCCGAAGCCATGTTTTGCTTGCGGTGAACTTCACTGGTATAGATATTGCAATTTTAGGAATAAAAAATGTTCCAACTGTGAAAGAGTGGGGCATAAAAGCTCGCACTGCAGGTCAAAAAATAAAAGCAAAATAAGAAAATTAAAGTCCAACGAAGTGAATGACGGAATAACCAGAAAATTTGTTACCGTCGAAATATGTAATAAAAAAATAAAAATGCAACTCGACACTGGTTCCAACCTATCTATCATAAATTTGAATACGTGGAAGAAGTTGGGGAAACCAATTTTAATGAAGACAAATAAAATTGCGAGATCAGTGACAAGAGAAAAAATACAATTTATTGGAGAATTTGTTACAAACGTCACGTTAAATAAAAAAACGCAAAAAGTTAAACTATTTGTCATGAAAAATACCACAAACTTACTTGGTACGGATTGGATAACAGAATTTCAATTATGGGATTTACCAATAAATTCTTTCTGTTACAAGGTTGAAAATTTAAACTACGAAGCTAAAAAATTAGTTAGGAAACTAAAGAGAACTTTTCCTACTGTGTTTTCTCCAGGTTTGGGAACGTGTACCAAGATTGAGGCAAAATTACATCCAAAACAAAACGCTCAGGCGGTATTCAAAAAGAAAAGGAATTTGCTGTTTGCTTCAATTGAACAGATAGATAAAGAATTGGACAGATTAGAAAAAACGGGTTTATTTAAAAAAGTGGAATGGCTAACACCGACAATATGTGTGAAAAACAAGCTTCAGAAAGTAAAAATGAAGCCGACATCGAAAAAAAACTGAGGAACAAGTTACACGCAACCAAGGACATGCAGTATTATTAAATGATTTAAGTCAACAAGAATCTACAGAAACTGTGAGTCCAACTTTAAGAAGTTCAAAGCGGAAGGTTGTTTCTGGTAACACTTTGGAGATATATATATATATATATATATATATATATATATATATATAAAAATAATAATAATAATAATAAAGCAGATTGGCTACATGACGTACTTGGTGAAAGGGGTAAAACTCACGTGCAGTAAACAGATCAGACGACGTTTTTTCAGACGTAGTTGACAGCGGTCCCATGAAAAAAAAAACGCCGATGGAGGTGATTTTCAATAAGTTTGATCTAACAAACCCCTGCAAATAATTTTACCTAAGGTACGCCGATCCAGAAGAAAAAAAAAAAGGCAACTGATCATTTAAAAGTGGATCAAAAAACGTAAAAAATACGCTACGATGTTGTTGTAAAAAAAAAAAAAAAAAAAAAAAAAATTTTTTTCTGTAAAAATTTGAAAAATAAATAAAAACTTTTTACTCCTGTGGAGTAAAGTTTTAGGGGGGGGATGTTGTGCCATAGTACCTATTCTTTGGTAATGGACTCTCCCATAGATAATAAGTAGGAGTAGCAGTGGCAAGTCTGCAGAACGGTGTTGAGCGCGTCAGTCAAGATTCGGACATTTGAAGTACCAACCATCACAACTAGATTTTCTGCATCATTGACTATTATTTTCCAAGTTCCTAACGTTTTGTACGACTTATTAGAAATACAAGCCTCCACTGTGAAAATACTCCACAACACTTCTTCAGGTGATATACATTGGAATTTCAAACTAAACCCTTTAATTAGTCCACAGGAGTAGAGTGTTCTAATTCCACATGCCATGCCTTTTTTGGATATCTTAGTTTCAGGTAATTCCCTTTAGTAAGTCAACTCTCCAAGTTTTTGTACCCTCTGCTGTGGCCACATATTGAACTCACAATTCTTTGGGTGAAGTCACTTTTTGGATTACTCAACCAACACTTTTATCCACTGGGCCATGTATTTTGACCCAAAGAGTTGTGAGTTCTGACCTCAATGTCCACTTTTATATTTATATAAGCTCTATCCCTGATATCAAGCACTATAACCCATAAATATAGCATATCTTAAAAATATATTTTTAGCATAAATTTTCATTGCTGTTTTATACCAAAAAGACATGACAGATCAAATTCTTACCAAAATCTGGTAAAATCTCAACTTCAAGTCTGTCACCATGATTCAGTGGCACTTGCTCATTTTTGGTAGCTGGGGTAAATTGACGCGGGGGGAAACCCATCCGTATTTTCTGTCTATTTGCAGGGATGCCAAGTTTTTTGGTGATCAAAGCCTGCAATTCTTCAAAGCTGACATCCTTCTCAAGACTAAGTAATATCTGCAGAAGAAAATGAAATCAAAAACATGTTTAATGATGGCAGTAAATATACACCATTATTATTTTACAAAGATTTGGCACTTAATAAAGATGGACACAACAGTCACAATTATTCCATTTAGTATAAAACCAAAATTATTTCACAATGCTTCATAATGCAGGACGATGAAACTTTTAAAAAGGGAAACAGATCATTGGAAAATACAAAAGTGAAAGAAGCTAACATCAAATATCAAAACTGGATATTTCACTTTCAACTGCAGACTTCACAGTTATACAATATAGTAATGTGGGAAAGGAAACCACTTCATGTTCAAATCAACCTAATCCATCAGAAAGGCGTTTTGTACAATGAAATGAGAGAGATTCAAAATCTAACTGGAAGATAGCAGAATTCTAAGAGTATCTTTATGAAAAACGTTATCATTGGAGAGCTTCCCGAAGGAAAGCATGACCAGAATGAAAAAAATGCAATGGTGGCCACACTCTTTAGGCACAACAGATACATCCTCATTTCCTCCATATTCAAACAGTAAAAAAGAAATGGATCTGGTGAAGGTGCCACCTGACCAAAAATGACAGAATTTAGATCATAATCTGATTTAAGGCACATGAGGAACATCAAAAAAAGAACATACCCTTTCTGCAGGAGGGTTTTTCTAATATTAAATGAGTGATTTAGATACAAACAGTACATGCCTTTTCATGAAGTTTTCTTATTTTGCTTGTTTCATCCTTCATGAGTTACTCATGAGCAACTCAATCATATGACAAAAATACTATTGCATATGTCTCATCTAAATATCCAGAAAATCTTTTAAAATAAGATTCACTCTGTTTTCAATGTAGCAGAGTTGGATGTTCCACAAGAGAAGATAGCAGATCTGAGAAATCCTATGGCTGAAAAAGCCAAAATCTGAAAATCTTCTAATGGTAAGTCTGTCAAATTTTAATTTTCAAAAACATCTTTAATTGTTAAATAAAGGTTGTTAATTAATACAAGAGATTACTGACTTCTGACACGTCTCTGCAAAGACTCAAATAATAGACTTTTTTTCTTAAATTGATTTTTTTTGCTTAATAATATTTTACTTTCATCAATTTCCCCTTTTGAACCTGGGGCCTGGATTACAGATTATGGAAAAATAGCAAGAGTTAAAAATTAGGAGTGGGCTAGAGTTGAACTCACAACTACACTCCCTTCAGAGAAAACACATTTTGTAGCTTTCACTATAAGCTACTGAGACACAACAGTAAATAGAAAACTGTAAAAACATAATTCAGTATCCCAAGACAATCTGATCAATGTCATTATCATAAACAGGCCAATGAAAATTATATAGTGATCAATTTAGGAACAAAGTGATTTATTTTAATAAAGAATCACATACATAATAAATCACACGTTATGATCCACAAGTCAATGGACAGTAAACAACGTCATATAGACAAAAAAATAAAAAGCTCAAGAAAAAACAAAATAATTAACAAAATGAACAATCTTCAAATATGATCCTGAACTGGAATTGAAGACCACAATGAAAGTAAAATGAGAAATAAGTTTTGGTTTATATGAAATTCCAATTCACCTTTTGTCCGGTGGATGTAGACAGACGGATGTTTTTAGTGGGAGGACATTTCACCTTGCTAGCAGCTGGTAGTAGTGTTTTACATGGTGACGGTTTAGGTGTTGCAGATTTGATTTGGGATGATTTCTGGGTAAGGACAGGTTTTGGGATTTCTTCTTGGGGTTCAGGCTTACCTACAGCCCCAATTTGATTTTCAACCTGGAAAATATTGATGCAACAAATTCCATATGAGTAACCACATTATGAAATTTTCAAGCCTTGGTAAGATTTTCATTTTAACCAAACCTAGAGCACTTCATATAAAATTGATTACATGACAGCAGATGGGAACTGAAAGAGTTTTTGATCAAAGAAAACATATCCACTAAGTTTATTTTTTTCATCATCTACAACCAAAAAATATAACCTATAGAGCATTTTTTTGTTCATTTTGATGCCAATATCTAAAGATGAGTCATTAAAACATATCAGATTAAATAGAACCAAGGATTCAGAGAAACAACAAATAGTGGATTTGCTGGTCAATATCACAAATAATTCAACTCCAAATCCCAACAAAAATAAATAAAAAAAGGTGTTTTAATATTTGTTTAACATGTTCCTATTATGACAAAGAGATCAACACTGAAAGTTTTTACTTTTATGATGCAATAAGCAACAAAAGAATAAATCAATTAAAAGTAAGAATAAAAAATGTCGCAAGTAGAAATTAAAAATAAATATAATCAATAAATACAAGGGACTTGAAGGAAGGAAAATAGAAACTGAAAACCTTAAATAATCTTACATATTTATACGTCTACCATCAATCCTTGCTTTAAATATTACTGCCGCATATGGTCTGGTTCTCTGACTATATATTTAGAGATTCTTGATAAAATCCAAAGAAGAATCAACAATATTATTGCTCCCAACCTGGCATCTCAGTTTCAGTCACTTTCCCACTACCATAACATAGTTTCCCTGTGCTGCCTTTTTTATAAATACTTTTATGGTAATTGTTTGGATGAACACTTCACTATGGTACCCAGATTTTATGAATTCAAGATCTCATCAATTTACAGTTGACTAGGCTAGACATAACCATAAGTTTTATACTAACAGTTTCTTTTCTCAAAACTTCTCGCATGTGAAACACGCTTCCAGTTCCATACTTTCTAGCCAACTTTGAACTACAAAAATTTAAATGCAATGGCATTCATTATCTACTGTCTTCTTGATTACTCTTCTATTGTTCTCACTCCTTAATAATATTTCTCTTTTTTCCTTATACTTTCACATACACACTAACTCCTTATGTCTTACTGGCTTTACTGCTTTGTATGCGGTAAAATGATTTTAAAGAAATAAAAAGCAGGTGACTTTTGGGTAGTGGCAGGGTAGCATAGCTTCACATCCACAAACAATATGGTGCTCTCCCACTTAATAATGACTAGTGAAGGGATTTTACCTTTTCTGTGGCTGAGTGAATTTGCTTAGTTTGCTGGGGGCCACTGACCACTGACCTAGACTTCTGCTCTCTGACAGCATCTGATAGAATAGCTGAATCCAATGTTTGCATAAAAAGACTTGCCTTTTCAGAAAGTACTTCCTGTTTGAATTCAGTCTGAAAAAAATAATAATAATAATAACAACTTTTTCTCTCTTAAAATTATACAGGGTGAACCAAAAATATAGGCACAGTAGGGTGAATGGGGTTTGTGTTAGGGTTATATTATAACTATGGTGTTTGTGTTATATTAAATTTTATAACTAAATTTATTTAAATTTAATCTTTTTTTTTTCCTTTTGGATAGTTCAGAGAACCCATAATGGCAAATAATTTGAATAGTGATGCAAGAAAATGGCTGTTAAAAGAGTACAGGAAGCCTCAAAATGCTGAAATCATTAAAACAAAATGGGTTGAAACATTTGGTACTCAAGCCCCAAAGAGACAAACTATTTCCCGTTTATCAAAATTTAATTGTATTAGTATTAATTATTCAATTGTTTACTGTCCCCCTACTTTTGGTTCACCTAGTATTTTCAACTTAAATTTCTTTGTTTCTGACCCTAAAAAGTGATATTTTTTTATTCATTTTAATATTTTTTCTCTTATGTTTAATTTGTTCTCTTTCCCTTTTTGTCTTGAAACTGAATGAAACCCACAACATTAAACCCACTTTTAATCATTTTTACTCAAACATTATTTTTTTTTGTATTTGTTTTCTCCAAGTTGAAATAGATAAATAAAACAACTCAAATATTTTTCAAAAAGTGCATTCCAATTAAATCCAAATATTAACACCATCAACAGCCATTGTATTTCCCACAACTTAATTTTATTTTCATTGCACCTAGTCAGGCCCTCAGTCTATGGCTATCAGCAAACAGTAAAGAGTGAAAAATAAAGGTTTGGTTGTTTTTGTTTAGTGGCATATCAACACATCTATGGGTTATTTAATGCAGAAATCTAAATATTTTGTATGCAATTTTATGGCTTCATCTACAGATATTTTGTATATAATTTTATACTTTCATGGCAAATGTATGTTTCCTTTTTCAGATATATAATTTGTAGATGATAAAATATATTGCTGAAAAATCTATTTTTATACTTTAGTGTTGTATTGTCATTTTGCTATAAAAATGTGTTACTACTAGTCATTTTTTTTTGTTTATAAATATATTGCTGGTATTTTTTTGTGGAGTAGCTAAACACCCCCACAAGATGCACTGGTCTAAGATTATTTAAACAGGAGGGGGAGGAGTTAACAATTAACTGTTTATTACATTAGTCAGTGTTCTTAACCGTATGTATTCCGAAATAACCTACTTCTTACTTTCTATATGTGTGTCAACCTTTCCTATTTACAACACAACATATTTTTACCATGATGTATTTTTATATTTTCTTAATGAACCACCAAACAAAAATCAAAACACTATTTTCCCAGAGCTGACAGGTGCTACTATCTTAGGTTAGGGTGGACCTGGGAACAACAGCAAAATTAAGAGGTGGTTTGACACTCCTTAAAATCTCCAATCTGTTAATCAGAGGCCTTGCTTCCAGATGTAATTTATCATCATACCCGGAACTAGAAAAATAAAGAGATTCAAGTTCAAGTCTCAACAGGCACTTATACTTCATTTCTAATGTGTGCCCTTTACAAATGAGTGCAGGCTGAATCAGTGCAATGAAGAGAAAATGAGCATGAAGGAAATATGAGTAAAAAAATTAATGATAGTTGCCAACACTATGTAATAAATAAATGAAAAAAATCATACCAATCAGTAATTAATTGTCATCAGTTTTGCACACATATTAGAGAACTTGGGTTTTTAAATTCAGACTCCCACCTTTTTCATAAAAATTAATTTTTATTATCTAGTAAAAGTCATCTAGACATAGGTTTTTCAAACTGTGAGTCCCGACCATTCCATGAGTCGCAAGGTAAATAATGTGGGTTGCGGCAAAAAAGAAAGAAAGAAAAAAAAATATGCAAATGAGAGCAAAGTGCAGAATATAAGCAACTCTAAATGTTGCACAGCACTTATAAATCATCACTAGTTTTTCACCAAGGTAATCTCATATTATATTTTATTTTTTTAAATAATATAATTAAATATATATATACATATAAAAAAGCAAAATACCTCCTCTTTTTTTTTTTGGAGAAAAAAAAAATAGGCTTGAGGGCTTTCAACCAATTGAATATAACCTATGTTAAATTCAAACTAAGCAAAAAAGAAAAATGTTTTTAGAAATGGATCATGACAGGAAGTTGTCTACAAAACAATCCTTAGATATTAGATTAAAGACTTATACATATGGTTACATTATTTCATAAAATCTTATACAAAACACAAAAATCAATTTTCCCAAGAAATGAAAGCAGCGCGGGGTAGGGAGGTAATTTAACCTAATGTTAACTAGTTATATGCTTTGTGAGTTTAACACATAATTTTTTTTTGTAGTTGATAAATAAATGGCATCTTTAAGAAACTAGTAAATAATTTAAACATATAGAATTATTTGGCAAATTAATATGCAACCATTAAGTAAAGAGCATCCATATAAGTTGTTAATAATACCAACCAATCAATGCAAGATGTCAAAAATACTAACTAAATACCAGTACATCCATATAAGATGTTAATAATACTGACAGATTAATACAAAACTATATTAAATATAAATTAATCTAAAAAATAGAAAAATAAGACATATAAGGTGCATCATTGTACATCTACTAAAAAATATAAGAAAAAGCATTATCAAATTCCACAATTCAATTACATTGTAAGGTAAAAGGTAGACTATGCCTACAATTTACTGTTAATTCACTTCTTTGATTTAATAAGGAGCTTTTATCAAAAAATCTGATAATTTCCAATTTTTCATGTAAACACAGAAAACAGGATTCATATAAAGATCTACATGTTCTAGCCATTTTCCATTTCACCTTAGGAGTTTAATTAGCATCTTTTAAACTCCAAAAATATTTAGAAAGTGATGTATTATTTCAATAAGTACTATTGGTGTAGGACAAGATATGCCAATATCACCTAGTCTTAAAAGAATTCTTAGTATTACCAATATAGAATTTTTCAACAGTTGGATTCTCTATTATAGAAAGAGTTCTTCGATAAACAAGAGATTTAGTTAATCATTTGTTTGGTAATGTGCATTGGTCAGAAGTCCTACATTGGTTAGTATTATCAATAGTATTTATCTTGGAATGTGCATCATAATCCAAATTTTTAAATTGATTTAAAATTTTATTATTGTATAACTTTATAATCTTCTCAAGATTATTGGTGCAGATATAACTTAGTTTCAATATGTTTCTGTAAAATATTTTACTAAGAGGGCTATTTTTAGAGAAATGTTTATCAATTAAATGGAACTTCTAGTCCAACTTAGTACTGACCATTTGGTTAAATGGGGGTGTATACCAAATGATTTTTCTATTTCTTTTCTTCAGACCACTATCATCATGTTTTCTATACTTGATTTCAGTGTACTTATAACTCCTATTCTTTAAAACAGTATTATAAACACTGCTATATTTATCAAACACATCTTTGTCAGATGAGTGGTTGCTAATCCTACGTTCTATAGACAAAGGTATATGTTTGATTACAGATGAAAGGTGGTTAGAATTGGGGTGAATACATATTGGGTTGGCATTATTTTTTATATAAGGTTGGAACAAGATCTAATGTAACAACAAGAAAATCTACTCGTTTAACATTAGTAGTTATCTTAACCTTAAGATTTAAACTTTTTAATTCTCTATAAATCATTTTCCTTAATTTATCAACCTTAATTTTAGTAGAATTATTTTGCTCTACTCTGTATTGAGCCCTCTTTTAAATTAAAAGTTTTGAATATTGGAATTGTACTTTATTTGTTCACATTTTAGCTGGAGATATATATATATATATATATATATATATATATGAGTTGCAGATCAAATATGGATCATAATCCAACAGGATGATAACATAAAAGAACAAATAGGAAACATATAACAATCTAACATTTCACTTTTTACGGTTAGATTGATATAGGTTTCCTATTTGTTCTTTTATATATATATATATATATATATATATATATATATATGTGTGTGTGTGTGTGTGTGTGTGTTTTGAACAATAAAAATATTAAAAAATTAAAATTTTCAGACACACTGGGTTGTATATTAATATTTTGGGGGTTTTATTTTAATTAGGTTCCTTAACTAGTTTCAGCCAGTATGGCCATCATCAGGAGAGAAAAAAAATTTAGGAGAAAAAAAATTTCTGCTTGTTAGTAGGAAGTGAGTGACTGTTTATGAAGAAAATGAACTTTATAAGTAGTTTTCATTTGTTTTTTTATCATTAATTTTGGTCAGTCCTTGTGTTGTTCAAATGGCCTCTGAAGTTGTTTTAAGATAATTGTTAAGACTATAGATAGATAGATAGATAATATTAGTGGTAAATATACATATTACATATATATTTGTATAAAAAAAAATATTCCAAGAGGATAAAATCCAGGTAGAACTCAATGTCCAGGACAGAGTAAGGATATAATAAAAAGGCTTAAACACTAATATTACAAATTCCAAATAAATATATATATATATTATATATATATATAGTCCTAACAATTTTCCTCTAGCATAGATTACTCTATCCAGGATGTCAGCTCCAAGGTCTTCTAAACACTGAGCTTACATAGCAAGCTCCTGCCACCAGTTCACCTCAAGGCGGATCCTGATTGGCTAATACTGCAGCTATGTAGATTATCTACTAGCGCCACCATTCTCTTTTCCAACCATGCAATTGGTCGAAGGGAGATAACTCAATTATCTCAACAATCTCCTCTTTAGTTTCTTGAGGTGCCAACCAATTCCAAGGCATCCATCAGGGCAGCTGGAGATAAACCCCTTTTGGTCAATACGTTAGCCAGCTGGTGGGCTGACTGGACCCAGGATACTGCAGGGATCTCCTTTTGCTCAATCAGGTCCTTAAGGACAGATATATCAATCCTGAGCCTTTTATCTTAAACTAATTTTGTGAAGTACACAGACTCAACAAGGGATTTACTGTCAACATAGCATTTCATAATAGGTGAGTCTCCACCGAGCTTCAATACTTCTTTCAAAGTAACCTTTAGACATATTCCTGCTACATCAAGCAGGGCCAAAGTTTTAATAGATTTCACAACTTGTTGAACTTGTCTCAACTGTCATGTCAATAAACATCTTTCACTGTTACTGTGGAAGATGACACAGTGTCCCTGAGGAGACCCTCCTCCTCCTCCTCCTCTTCCTCCTCCTTCCAAATTACCAAATGATGCATCACTAAAGCATTCAGTCACCAGTTCTTTTATGTTGTCCAAAGGAAAAAAAAAAGCTATTTTTTTTTGATTATCCTTTTATTCCTGTTTTTTGTGTTTATATATATTTATTCATTCTATTTATATGTTCAACCTATATATATATAGTTGTTCCACCTCAGTTCACAAATCAAAAACATCTGGACATGTTTGAACTCACCAACAAGACACTCCAGTTTCTTCTTCATTTACTTTATCACTTCATTTTCTTCCACTTATGTCTATCATTTCTAAATTGTTTATGTAATCTAGTTGGTGATTTCAATCCAGTCTTTCTTCTGTACAATATTGAAGCAAATATGATTAAAAATATCAGTGCTATAAGCTCCAAATAAGGTCAATGTTTCCATTCTTAACCAAAAGACATCATCAACGTGAATGTATACAATTTCAAGCAACTCACCATCAACATTAAGATAAAAGAATACAGGGTCCAACTTTGACACCATCATTCCAGCTTCCAGCAATACTTCCTTTAAGTTAAGGTACCATGCTCTTGCTGCATCCCCAATGCCATATATGGTTTTCTTCGGTAGCCACAACTGTCCACTGTAGAATTCTTTTGGAGGCTTTAAATAAATTTCCCTATTAATTGCATTTCCTTATAAATATGCTGCACTGACATCCAATGAATTACATTTCCAACCAAAGTTGGAGACCATGAATATTGCAAGTCTTAAAGAGTCTTTTAAACAAGTAGAGGAATTCATTGCTATCTCCCATTTTTCCTTGAAACCTCTTGCTACTAGTCTAGCTTTCATAATTTTCCCTCCATGTTTTATCTTTTCTGTGACCACCCATCTCATTGATATACATGGGTGCCCCTACATCTTTTATCTCTTCAAACATCTTGCACTTTTTCCAATTTTCAACCTCTGCAATCTTTGCATTGAATAATTCATTGACCTTAGAAGGATCCAATGCATCCTCCTCTTCATCAAACTGCTGCCACTCATCCAGATGATTTTCCAGATCAATCCATTCATACATTCTTGTATCAATCCTGCTGATATTAAAACAGTTCTTGTATTGACCTCTTGCTCTTCCAGCATGTGAGAGAACTTTTGCAGTAAATTGTCCGCTCACATCTTTTAGGAAACATTTTATGTAACTGCAAATCTTTGGAACATTCTCTGTGGACACTTTCACATTTTTTCCACTGTCATTTTCTTCACTCTCTTCACTCTGGGTGGTATTACGTTCATCCTCTCCACTGTTAGTGTTGGGACCAGTTTCTTCTTGTTCATTGTTTTCTTTAGGAATTTCTAAAAGGGGTCTCTTCATTCTGCTGCTCAATACTTTGGACTCTACAAATGTGGACTCTATAATAGGTACCAACATGTTTAACTAGTACCTGTTTCTCATCATGCCCAATTATAACTCCTGGGCCATGCCATCTATCATTTTCATTTCTTTCTCTATTTTTTAGTGATTCTAGGTCATTTTTCAATCTCACTTGGTGAAGACAAGCTCAACATATCCTCTCATTTGTTTCCTTTTTTATAAATTCCTTTCTTGCTTTTTGCATGCCATTTAAGTTATCTGCTACTAATTGAGAGTTTGATTTGTGTTCTAATGTTGATGGCATGCCATTTATCAACTGATTTGGTGAAAACCCACAGAAATTATGCAGCTACAGCCCAGGACATAGCTATCTTTACATTAAAATTAGTTTCCTCAAGAATCCATTTTACACTGATTGATAATATTTGATTCAGCCTTTCACAGGTGCCATTACTCCATGGGCTCTGGGCTGCTGTGTCCAGAAGCCAGATACCAAATGTGTCTCCCAAATCTCTCATGGATTCATCATTAAATTTACCTCCATTGTCCATTAGGAAAGATCCAAGTGTACCAAAATAAGCAATCCAGTTGTTGAATATAGCATGTATTATAAGGTTTTCACTTTTGTTATTTAACTAAAAAAAAAATAACCATTATACCAAAATTTCAAATCCATTGCCACAGTTTGATTGAATGAAGAGTCAAAAGACAGGGGCACCACCCGGTGAGGCTGGGCCTTTTTATAACACTTGCAAACAACACAAGACTCAGATACACTTTTTACTGCTTCAGTTAGGTCATTTTCACATCCGGCATTACCCAGTAGTTGCTTGAGTTTTTCATACAAAGGATGTGCAAATTGCCTCTGGAATTTGAGTGTAATTTTTTGCTTGTCCGTATTTTTCAAAACTAAAAGTACTCTCAGTACCGTCTCTGTTGTAGGTGACCCCAAAATAGGGATCATGTAACATCTTCAACTGGACATATTTGGTTAAAAAAATTTCCCAAACAGCTTCACTATATTTTTGTCTAAGTCAATCATCTTACCTGCTCATTGCATTGATGATTTACTCAATGACAATGGTATATTGCAGTCCACAATATGCATCTTGATTATCATATTTTTTCCAGCCATGACACAAGGTATGCTGACACATTTCAGGACACTTACTCTCTATCCATCTCCAAATTTGTTCATAGAATTGGATGGCTCAGGTTTCACTATTTTTTTCTTTGCATCAAGGGTATCTAAGAAACTGGTAATCCATGCTCTCCCACACACTGTCTTTGAGCAACCTAAGTCTAGAAGAACAAAATCCATTGCCATTACGGTATCGATAACTTCATTTAGTGGTTCATCTGATGCCATCAATAATACCTGCACTTCTTCTGCTTCAGTATCACTGGCATGGGGACAACTACAAGCCCAATGTTTGCAAGATCCACAAATAAAACATTGTGTAATTTTGCCATCAACACCAAGTGTATTATTTTTTCCTCCTCTTCCACTTCCTCTGTAATTTCCATGGTTTGTATTGGCCACAGTTCCTATAGTTGTAGAATGCTTCAGTTTCCATACCAGGTTCCTTTTTCACCAAGGTTTAGGCACATTCCCTTTCAGGAGCAATCAATATTCCACTATCTGTTATAAATAGTATTTTTGATGTTTGTCGCACATTATCAAATGTCATCTCCAGTGTTGTTGGAAATGCAAATCACCTAGATTGCAGCTTTTTAACAACCTACATTCCAGTATAGCATCAGGAAGTTCTGTATTTATTTCTTTTAGTTTATAGACCCTGCTAAAAAACTCACCTAAATATTCTTTAATGCTGCCATTAGGCTCTCTTTTAAAATCTTCCAAAACCAAATAGGCATTAAAGGATTTCCAATTCTTATTCTGCTGTAAATCTCTATCAAGCTTCTCAATCAGCAGCTGGTATTCCATTTCCATGCTTATTTCTGAAATGGTCAACTCTTATGATGCCAGTCTTGCTCTTGCTGTCAAACTCAAATGAACTGTAATATCCCACTTCTCCTTTGGCAAGTCTACAGTTCTAAATCCTTTCTCCAGGTCTCATAATCATTCTTTTCTCCCCTGAACTGTGGTAGAGTCTTCAAGTTGCATGCCATCTTGTTTGCTCTGCTACCAATTGTCATTTTCCTCTAGCATAGATTACTCTATCCAGGTTGTTATCTCCAAGGTCTTCTAAACACTGTGCTTACATAGCCAGCACCTGCCACCAGTTTACATCATGGTGAATCCAGACTGGCTAATACTGCTGCTATGTAGATTATCTACAAGCACAACCATTCTCAATCTTTCTCTTCTCCAACCATGCAATTGGTCAAGGGGAGATAACTCAATTAAAATCAACATTTTATTACAAAATAGAGAAAATCCAAAATTACCTCATGAGCATTACTTCTACTATATATATATATATATATATATATATATATATATATATATATATATATATATATAGTCATTGAGTTTATGCATCTTGTTCCTCAAATTCGTTGTAAACTGAGTGACGGAATTTCCTTTAAATTTTTCTAAAAGTAATAATTTTATGTTCATACAAATAAATACAAATATATATGCAAATCCACTATGTGCAGATCACAAAAATATATATAAATTGTTGATGCTAAATAAATGAATTTAGTGAACAGAGTCTGTCTTAAATTTATTACACGTAGGTATAATTGGTTGCAATGCAAAATGTGGTTCTTGCTGTGGGTCGCAGTAAGAAAAAGTTTAAAAATGCTGATACTGACAGACATTTAAAACAATTAGCATGGCAAAGAATGTAGTTATCAAATAAAAAATATCAGCGTTTTATTTTTATGGTAAATACTCAATAATGGTGTTAACAAGAAATCAAAACATTAAGAAATGGATCTGTCTGGATGCCTTGTCTTTGCCAGAAGAGGTGAAAATACTTACACAAGAATCTTTTTCATCCCTCCCTGGCAGCAGATGAGTTGAATCTCCAGAGTCAGTCTCAGGGTGAGCAGCAGTAGCAGCTAATCTAGAATCTTTAATTTTTGTCAACTCAAGAATCTGGTTGACAAGAGATGTCACAAGAGATTCAGTGTTAAATTCTCCTGTTACAAGAGAATGAAAGATTAATTAGTGAATCACTTAACAGCACTGTTCTATACAAATACACACACAATCTTCCTATTGATTTCCTCAAATCAAAGAACAAAATTCACAATAAAAAGCAGAAATGAAAAGAAATTATATTATTGGAAACATGATTATCAGTTTTAAAAACACTTTAATATCTACTAGTATCTGGGAACGATTTCTATAGACTCTACTAGAAATCTTTACAAAAAATTAAAATGCAGTCGTTCAGAATTAGCAAAAACTGTTCTACCTGGGAAATGTTCATGCACCAACTGTTGTCCAATTTCATAAGCATTACTATCCAATGAAGCATCACTTTCATTTTCAAACCAAAGTACTTTCACAGCAATGTTTTTATTTTTCCATTCCAATGTCAGTGGCAAACTGAAAACAGATATTAAGTTATGATTTACAACCTCTTGCAACAAACAATGGCATTTTACAGGGCAAAATCTAGACAATGAAGATGATTCTGATACACCTGAGGGTATGTCACTCAAAAGCTAAAGCACACACATACACTGTTGCAACCAGTTGACAATGTACAAAATTGCATCCTGGCCACAAAGAATCTCTTCAGTTTTGATCATTCTTTCTTAAAACTGACATCCCAAACATGTTTACCAACAAATTCAACTGAAATAAAGCAGAATTGGTAATTAAATAAGTTGCAAATAAATACTAGATGACTAATTAAATAATGTTAAACAAAAAAAATTTTTTGGCAAGTTTTTTTATGACTAGTTTTAAAACAAAGACAACACTGAAGATGTTTTTAAAGAGGAGAAAATATGGAGAAAAAAATGGAGCTTAATGAAAATTAACTACATTTTTTTCTTTAATATGAAGATTTACTTTTAGATTTTTTTCAATCTATATATAAATCTTTACATTAAAGATTTTCCTCTATTCCAAATCTTGTCTGAAAATAATTATAACTTTATAAAACTGACTTTTTTTTAACCCTTCAGAGACAAATGATGAAGACAGCAACTGGACTGATCCATTGGCTTGATAATACAAGCTTCAAGATAAGCTGTCTGGTCATCATAGCAGCCAATCAGATTGATTCTCACATTTTTTACACATCTTGGACTTATAATGGCAGTTTCTCTGATAGTTTGCCATGTTCTGTGATTTTATATCGATTTTTTTTTTTGTGTTCCAAGTGAGGGCTTGTGAAATAGGCTGTCTTCTTGGCACTGAAACTGTCTCCAAAGGGTTAAATAACTAAATGTACTTGCAATAATGCTTTTGGAATTTGCTCATTCAAGTTTAAAAATACACAATACCTAGACAAGCATTAACACAAAATGAATTTTATAAGAAAGTTTACTGTTTAAATAATTATAAGCTGAATTACAGAAAGTCTACCAACAATTGTTGTAAATAATAAAGAAAACTGAATTAGTGACTAATCCTTCTCAGACAACATATGAAGGAATGAAAAAAGAAAAAAAACTTACACTTGTGGCAGATTGTTATAAAAGATTCCATTCCAATAATATTTGTTGCCTTGTGGATTTGAAACCAGGTCCCCATTTTGATAACATATGTTGCCATTAGCCTTTACCAAACGTAATCTATTTCTGGAAGGACAAAAAGTTGAAATAAATGAAAATAAGTTTTGGTTCAACACTAACTTCAAATAAAACTAGCGTTGAAAGTTTATACCTATGAATAAAGAGATAAAAAAAATACAAGTAATAATTTTGAGCAAATAAACATTCTACTCTGAGTAAACAAGGTTGTCTGTTTTTGTTTAACAGCATATAGGTTACTTAATGACAAAAACTAAATATTTTGTACACAATTTTATTTTATTTTCGTTTAAATTATAATGGTTCTAGTGGTAGAAGTCTTACTAATTAACCGACTGCTGGGGGAAGAAGAGGTGGATTCATACCTTTCCCAAGGGTATTTGCATGTAAGTGAATATAATGAACCCAACTGGAATTGGAACTCGGCTCTCCAATTAACAATTCAGAGCCATTATCCATTACACCACCCACACATCCAATCTTACAACACCTGTTATTTCCAAGTGGTCCCCCATCTAGGCTTGATGTTGCTTAACTTCAGTAATCATATGGGAACCAGTATTTCAATGTGATGCAGTCATTAAGCCTGTATAAACAAAGGTGCATCAATAAGTTTGTAGCACAAAAAACAGTTATTAGCATAATTCCTGATCTGGAATTTTCCCTGTATGATGTTTAGTGATTAATATTCCCTATTGAATTAAGTGCATTTACAAAGAAGGGAATTATGGTGTAAATAAATGCTTTTATCATCATTATGTTACACATCACCCAAGATTAGGCAACTTTTTGCCTGCTGGCCAATACTCTACCTACTGCTAAGATGAATGTAGCTAAATTTTAATTTGTTCATTAAAAATGACAACGGAAATTCATTATTCAGATTCAATTAGAACTGAAAGGTGGTGGCAACAGCCTTAGAGTTAACATTCGCACAGTCTCAATCAAGAACAGGAAAATTGTTCATTCCCATTTTAAGAAGACATCGTTTGTATGCACATACCCAATTAGCATTTGTACATTGAATCTACAAGTAGATAAAAGATTAGAAAGGAACAATAATGTTCACTCTGTTTATAGACACTAAACATAAATAAGCATTGATTTTGTTTTTAACCTACAACTGATCTTACAAATGTATTTTGGAAAAGAGTACATTTCTATATTTATATATTTATTGAAAATGATTTAGAAACTCACATAGTATCTCTCAAAAATAAAGGGATTATCTGCTTAGGATTAAAGTATAATTCTTTGGCCCTCTTGTTAGAATTATAGGAATCAGAGTGCAGTATCAGTGCATTTTGTGAGAAGTGTTTAGTGTGTGTGTGTGTGTGTGTGTGTGTATATATATATATAAGTGGATATTGAGATAAACACTCAGCAGTGACTGTTTCATATTTAATCACAATATTCAGGCCTGAAGATCATGTTTAAGAATGAAACAGTGTATTGCTGCTGGGTGTTGACTTCAATGTCAACTTTTATATTTACATGTGCTCTATTCTTGATATTGAGCACTTTAACCCATAAACAAAGCATAACTTAAAATACACACACACACACAGAGAAGAGAGAGTAATAAATGTATATTTATATGCATCATAACATTTTTAGTACACAACAAATTTAAAGTTTAGTTGATATCAATAATTAACTTTTTTTGTAACATATTTACAATAGTTAATAATTGATATCTGTTAATGAATTCAATATAATTATTTTAACCTCATGAGAAGCACCATGTCTCTGCAAAACTTAAATTTAAAGTCATTTGAATTTTTATTTATCTGTTCATTATTTTTTTAATAGTGAGCATTTTATTTGCAAAAATCTGTTTGCCTTGAATACATTAGCCTCTGGTAAGTTATTGGTTAATGTGTTTCATAAATTATATATAACCAAATGGATAAATATAGGTAAATGTATGATTGAGCGTTCATACATACATACATATATATATATATATATATATATATATATATACACACACACTATAGTTTTAGAAAAAACAATGCTCAATGTTAAATAACAAAGCTATTTAATATATTAAGAAATATGAATCACTGATTGAACAACTCAGAGTTTCATACATTCTGCATTCGTCAGGTGCAATTTTTGGGGTTTATTGCAGGGCTGGAATATTATTATTTTTAAAATATTTAAATGAATTGTAGTTTAATTTGGGATTTGAATTTAGGCCCAGATTAGCATTCAAGGTTGAAAATAAGAATTATAAATTCTAATCTGAAGAGACACAGCTGTAATCAAAATGAATGAATAATCATGAAAATGGAGGGGGACTTTATTTTTCTTCCTTGAAAATTAATAAAGTAATTAATAATAATATTAATAAACTAAATAAGAGTAGCAATATCAATAATAATAAAATATACTGTGATAAAATAAAATTAAACTACTAATAAAAATAATACATATCAATGAAAATAAAATAAGATAAAATAGAAACTAATAAATAAGCAAATAAATAAATAAAAATAATAAATGCAAATAAAAATAAATACACAAAAGTCTGGGTTATTTCTCTTAGTCCATAGACTTTCATCTTGAAATAGTATTGGTTTCTGTGCCTCTCTTATTTTTTACTTCTTGGTCAGAAATATGGCAGTAGTTCTTTGCTAAATTAACAACGGCCATCCGTAGATCTTCCATAATGGATGGGTAGAAGTCACAGATATCAAACTACAAAAATGTGCATTATTCTTTCTTTTTTATATTACTGAACCATTCAATAGCTTCAGCTGTATTTCAACACTGGTTGATACCTAAAGCCATTTTAGTATACTTGCACACTCTTTCCATAAGATATATATATGTGTGTGTGTGTGTGTGAAGCAAGTAAAAAAGCAAAGCAACAGCAATAAAGCAAAATTTTTGCAAAGTAAGAATAGTGTTCAAATGGGATACAGTCAAGTGGTTATAGCATTCTGATATCCAAGCAAGAAAGAACAAAAATATGGCAATAAAACCAAGAATTGTCTATTTTTATTGGTTAGGAAAAAATTCCAGCATGCATCTGTAGGATTTGTCTCTAAATTTTGGCAGGTAAGGTTTCTAGCAGTCGTTCCAGTCAGTTATAACCAACATTAATCCCCCTTCCAAATAACAGTGCAGTGGATACATCTGTGTATAAAGATACATCTTATCAATAGATAAACAATGTGTGTATTACACATACACACAGGCATCCATTCTAATCAAGTGGCAAGCAAACTAGGTGCTTCACAAATGTGTTGTTGTTCCAAACATAGTTCAATATTCTATTACAATATATAAACAAGAGAACCACAGAGGTTAATATTTTGACCCCATTTAAAAAAAAAAAGATTCCAATTGGAAAATATTCAAATGACAAAAGATTGACAATGGGAACAAATCTTCTCCATTTTTTGATTTTAGATTTCATAAAATTAAAAAGACAAAAGACGAAATTGACAAAGATACTTACACCTTACAATCTTCACAGACGATATCTTTTATATATGACTCACGCAGAACTGAAAAATAAAACATTGCTGAAGTGATTTTCTCTTTCACATTAAATAAATCAAGAAAAAAATATGAGATCTAGCTGCATTTTCCTTTTTAATAAAAAGTGTTGTTTTTTTTGTTTTTTTCACTTATTCAATGTTCATTCCCCTGATTGGTTAATTGAATTAGCTACCAATTAAAAAATAAAATTGTCAACTCACTATTTCCTTTTATTTTGACAAACACCACGAGTTTTACTATTTTATTATTCTTTCTAAGAGAATAAATATGCACAGATCTTGTGGCAATCCACTCTATTTTTCTGACCACAAAGTGAGTGATTCATTCTTTTACAGCCCATCAATCCTTTGCAGATTATTTAAAGCCAAAAAAATATTTTTAAAGTATGTGAATTTGGGATGGGGGTTGTTAATGATTTTTTGTGATACAAGTTTTACTAATTAACTCATAGCTAATGTGTTCTCTCCCATAAAATATAACTAAGGTTTGCTCAGCATAGTTGCAGTATAAATTACAGATGGGCTCTGTGGGTGGTCAACAAACACAAATGTGCCTGAGCATGCGTCTGCAAAAGGGATTGGCTAACTGCCCGAGTAGACCAACATACTCGGATTCGAACAGCCAGCCACCGCATACATTTTCAAGACACTGTCAAATGGTAACTCGTGTTTAGTGCTATTTCCAAATCAGCAAAATAGCAAACATTATGACCCGTTTTGAAATAAATTCTTATTGTATGTTGTAGTATGTTGTTTAAATTAATCTGTACTGCTAAGTAACTGATGAAAAACCAAATGGCAGCACCCATGGGAAGTTACCATCAGCATCTAAACAAAGAAACATTTTTTTTTCTTAATTTAAAATTCTATAACAATGCAGCAGCTAAAGTGTTAGAGAAAATAAAGGAACATTAGAAATAAACAGTCAGCACTCTCAGTGGAAGCTTTCTTTATTTGCCATATATAGCAAAGGCAAAAAAATGGAGTCAACCATAGTTGGGATCATCGAGTCAATTTGTACGATCATTTCGTTAGCTGTATAGTATGTGCTTCACCAGAGCTACATACAATTTTGAATACAGAGTTTTCTTTCTTCTAGACTTGTTGCAACCCAAGGCTATAGAACCCATTTTGTCCTGTTATTTACCCATAGCTGGGAGTAAAAGAGATGAGTTCATACCTTTCCAATGAGTATTAGCACACAAGTGAAAGTAATGAGTTCAAATGGAATTCAAACTCTACTCCCCAAATTCACAATATGAGCCACAATCCATTACTCTACTGCGCCTCCTAGCATGGTAGCGAAGACAAAAGAGCATTCTACTGTTAATATTCACTTTTTCCATAACTACACATATTGTTGTTTCTGAAACAGTATAGCACATATAGTTCATAGGTTTTCATCAACCTTTGGGAAACAGACCACAGCCTAATTCTAATGTCTTGACATTTTGAACAACACTATTATTATTAATATCAGTAACATTTTAATTATCCAACAATCCGACTGCTTCTGACTTGTCCTACAATGTATCTTATGAGAACAATAAAAAATTTACTATTAATAAGTATTTATTAAATTTATTCTAGTGTGACACAAGGTCAAACTTATGGAGCACTAAGGATCAAACTTACCAGCAATGATAATAATCATTTAATGGCAGATACTTAGACTGAGAAGATGGAGAGAAAATCATAATGTTCCAAGACTGAACAACTGGTATTTGTAGTTTGTAGTTTCATTACTTACCAACTTCAAGTTGCCCAGTATTGATGAACCGATCTTGTGGTATGTTACAGTTGTTTAGACTTTTACAGTTAAGGCAGCGATAAAGTTGACATTGCTGAATTAATTGTTTACAAATGTGCATGACTGTGTCTGGCTTCATACTATCAATGACTGGACAAACAAAAAAGAAAAATATTACAATTATTTATACTGTACCATATTAATTCCTTGTGAAATGCAATTTAAAGTTGGAAAACAAACTGATTTTCATTAGACAAACACAAAATAATTCATACTATATTTCAAAAAAATAAATCAGAGAGCAAAAAATAAAAATAAAACTTTCCTAGCTTGGTTAGTGAAATCACCAATTCAAGAAAAGAAATTCGCAACTAGGTGTGAAGTAAATATCCAACCAACAAGAGGCCTTACCTTGGGTAAACTATAGAAACAAAGAAGGAAATTCTCAAGTCTATGTTAGAAATAAATATTTAACCACTGAGAAGCATCGCTTTTGGGAAATTAGAGAATAAAAAAGAAAGAAATTCACAAGCTGGTGCAAGAAAATAAACTGGCATATAAAAAGACATAGAATGATGCAAGTGTAAGTCAACTTAGCAGTTGGCCTTTCAGAACTTTGATGACAAATTTATTTCTACGACTCAACTTACAAAGAAAAATTTCTACTAAACAAGAATAACTCTAACCAAACAAAGGACTGCTGTAATATAAAAAATTTTTTTTAAAAAAACAAATTTCATTCTCTTCAACCAGTGAAAAAACACTACTTGGTAAAATTATACGCCATCTTGCTACCAGCCTACTTAGTAGTTCTCAACTTGATTAAGTAAATACTTTCAACCTTGACTCTTTTCATCTATCACCTTTCAAATACTAATCTCACACCACTTCAATTAACAACAAACTTTATATTTTTTAACATTATTTGTTCTTTGGAATTTTCACTGAAACATTGAACTTATTGTTAACAAAGGATAAGTGTGTTGTACTAAAATGTATTGCTAACTTTATATTGTTATCAATAATCAATAATATGAAATTAACAAAGGCAGATGTATATTCATTAGAATTTAGATTAATAGCTATCTATTATGGCCTATGAATAGCAATAATCAAGGTTTAATTTCAGTAATTTGAGGTGACTGTTTCATTATTATTAGTTCCATTCACTTGTAAGAGTCTTTGCTTTGGCCAGATGAAAATAATGACCAGCATTGCTGTCTACAAGCTTTAAGGCTTAGTGAGGAAAATGGTATCACTTCATCCATCACAAAGATGTAATGTTTTTTTGTTTTGTTTTTTTTTGGGGGGGGGAGTTGGGGAATGTGGTTTCTCAAAGTGGCTTCATGAGAAACTACAAAATGAATCATACTGGATAAAATTCAACTGAAAATACTACCCCATTGGTTTTGAAACTAGATGAAGAACTTATAGTATTAATTTACTAGCCTATAGGACATGCATCAGCACAAAAGAATTCAACAATGCGTCCAATGTGTTGGTATTACGAATGAATGACAACTTACTTAAAGTTTAAACTGTATGACTAAGAAAGCAGGATGAATTTTAATAAGCAGTAGTTAAAATAAAACAGCAAATGTTCTTAGAGACTGGAAAATGTGAATTTCTGTCAGTGCATCAAATGCAAGTATGTGGCAGACGTAATGAGACAGAACCTGGGACAAGCACAACTGGTTGCAACTTGCCTTGTCCCCGCCAAAAAAGAGCCCATATTTGCTTAGCATGTAAAGCTACTGCAGTTGAAATGAGGGAGAAAAAGCACTTTTATAATATCTGACATTTCTTGATTGATAATTTTTTTTTTTTTGTCCAACCAAATTTTCCTCTGCCTCCACATCTCAATGGGCTCATAAATGGCTCATATGTTAGAATGTAATCTGACAGGAATTCCTTCTGGCCCAAAAGTTTTTATTTATCTATTCATTTATATAAATTAATTTTCTTTTTCCTATTTGCAGACATTGTGTGGTTGCTTTGAAGTGTTCAGATCTCAGTTTTACTGTTGATTGTTATAAAACTGTCACTGGTTCAGACCCAGATAAAATTATTTACAGTCCTAAGCCAATTGAGTGGAGACCTATTGTGTCACACTTCTGAGATTTAAATCTCTTGGAAGCTATTATAAGAGAAAACAAAAAGTAAAAGGGAACATTTTTCTCAAAATCAAAATAATGACAAATTCACTGTAAATATTCTAAGTAAATGTGTCACATACAACACACAGTCAATATGCAATCATCCATTCTGATATTTATTGGAATTTTTAGAATTCTTTTGGGATCAAAACATTAATTTAAAAATTCTAACAAAAGAAAAATAAAAGTATCTTAAGTTGATTATTTAATTGATTTAACTGAGAAAAAAGTAGAGATATTTACCTGAATCCCTGCGTAAAAGTTGATATGTGTCAGCAACCAAGCTTGGCTGTACAAGGTTTTTCTCATAGTAGACTTTTTCCATTGCATCAATTAGTTTCCGGATGTATCTGTCCTGCAGAACAAACAGAATAAACTCTAACCTCCTCTCTCATTGTTGTTAGTAGCAATGACAAAATTGAGGAATTCATTTGGACAATTAACCCATCTCATTTTTTATTCCTATATCTTCATATTTGTTGTTATTGCACTTGGACATGTTTGCTGATAGGATACGTCCAGTGGTCATTAGAAATTGCTCAGTGCTTATTTTTTTTTTTATTTCTTAACACCTCAACATAACCACCATAGTTTAAAAGCTTACGAAACTGAAGGCTAATATTTCATATTTGCCCAATAATTTTCATTAAAAAAAAATGTGAACAATAAAAATCCTTTATCTTGAGACAAGAGTCGTCCCGAGTTGTCAATTTGACAGAAATTATCAGCAGCAGCAAAAAAGGGAAAAGAGGGAGTCTGAGAAATTGCTTCATTTCTGTAGAAAAGAAATCCCAATTTCAGTTTAATATCTACATGGGTTATGCAGTATGATGCAATTGACAAGGCTTTCTTCAGTTTGTGCTCATCTCATTGCAAAACAAGTCTTCATTTGATGCACAAATATTTGAAAAAATAAAAACTAACACAACAGAAATGTCAGTCAATCTGTGATACTTACACTGAGTTTATTTCCTCCAATTGTGCAGCAGCCATTCTCATCAAAATTAACATATTCATTAATAATATTGACAGGCATTCCCCAAGCTTTCTGTAACATGCTCCGTGGCAGACGAGGTGCTGGCTTGCCTGAAAGGAATATCTTAGAATTAAATTAGTAAACAAATTTTCTTTTTTGTTTTAATGTTGAGATGGACTTACTGTTCATCCACTTTAAAAATAAAACTCATCACTCATCATGTGTGGTAAACATTCCATTGACTTGAAGATCATTTTTTGAAAGAAATTAAATATTTTTCAACCAGGGAGAGGAAAGTCCACTGATAAATGCATTAAATAGCATATATATGTCTATCCTTTATATCTATATTTATCAAGTAAAATTTGCTTGAAAAAACAATTGCTGCCTAATTATACTAAATTTAAAATCATGAAAATTAAATATTTATTTATTTAAGAAATTATCAACCCAAACAGAATGATTCATTAAACAGCATTTGTCTAAATGAAAAAAAAAACAAAAAAAAAAACAATGTGATTTGCTCACAAGCTTGTTTTTTCTCCATGTTTATCTACATTAATAAAATATATTCAAATGCTTACATATTTAATAAGTCTATTATTTGCTTTGAATATTACTGCCACATTTGATCTGGTGCTCCTGCTATATATTTAGAGATTCTCGATAAAATCCAAAGAATCTTAAATGTTATTGGTCCTGACTTAGCATCTCAGTTCCTTTTCCACCACTGTAATGTAACTTCCATATGCCTTTTGTATAAATATTTTCATAGTAATTGTTCTGATAAACTTTCCTCTATAAATTTAAGCACAGTACTAGATTGGCGGCAAGGTCTCATCATTTTACAGTCAAAATGGCTAGATGTAACCATAAGTTTCTTCTCTCATACTTTTCACTTATGGAACTCTCTTTCAAAAATTTAAATGCAATGCCAACTGTTATCTTCTGTCTTGTTCTTTTATTGTTCTCTCTCATATTCTCTAATACTCAGTAACTCCTTTCATCTTAGTAGCTTTGTTGTCTTATTTGGGGTGAAATGATAAAAAAAAAATTATATATTTTCGATAGTTATCTGTTGATACTGATAATTCTCCAGCTTTTGTTGGTCAATCAATATAAGATAGCAAGCCTTTATTCAAACAGCTGTTATTATAGATATTTCATGGCTTTTGCAATAATTACAAAAAGACATCTATTATTGAAAAACTAACAGAACACAACTTTTTTTCAGTACAATGAGATGCCAGTACTTAGAGCTCAGATCTGCTTAAATATGTTGCTTTTTATATAGACTGGAACCTGATTTGGCGTCTGAAGAAAAGTTTAAAAATTCATAAAGAAATGAATACAAAGTTATTTTTTTATGCAAGCAATTGACAAAACATGTCACAATGTCACAGAAAAGCTACCTGGTCTTCAATAGCCACCGAAGAAAGATAATAGTTTTCTTCCAGTTTTTTTTTGTTTTTTTTAATGAATGTCATGTTCAAGTACAAGAGTGGCAGCAAAAATTGTCAGTTGTTAATGAATTTTCAATGCCACTGTACCAAATGGATGTGTGGATAATGTGCCAGTTATTGGTTCAGAAATTAGGATTGGCATGTCCAGATCAAATTCCAAAGGCGTCGTGTTCACTTTAACACTAATACCCTTGAAAAGATATAAATTTCTTCTCTACCCAGCAAGATTTAATAGCAGGGTATCCTGTGCTCTCTTGCCAGTCTAGAAGAAAACAACTGTGAATCCAAAACCAGTTGTGCATGGGACTTGCAACTTGATTCCATAAAAACCTACCTGCTATGGAAATAACAGCAGCAAAACCAAGTGTAGTGTGGCTACGACACTATACTCCACAGGGAAGCCAACAAGGTTAGCATACATTGTATTAAACATGAGCAGACTAGAAAACAGACAAGAAGGTATTGAAAAATTCATGGACTAAACAAAAAAACTAAAACAGAAAAAAAAAAAAAAAAAAAAAAAAAAAATAAAAAAAAATAATATATTTTACATGTTATTTAAATTTGGACACCCACCCCTTCAAAATAATCCTCTTAGAAACAGAGAGATAAAACAGCACATCAAAAGCACCATGAAAGTTCTTTTCCTGATAGCCGTTCAGTTCCTTTTGAATTTTATCTGTGGTTTCAATTTCAATGTAAACAAGTTAATTGTTTGGTAAAGGTCCTAAAGGAAGAGTATGTGAATCTTTCTCACATTTTATGGTGTTTTGTTGAATTGGTAACTGGTCTCCTAGAACACCCATCTTGAACTGACTTTTAACTGGCCTTGAAGCATGCATGCCACTAAAAAAACCTGTATTGGACTTAAATAATGTTCACTAAATGTTATTTTGAGGATCATGGTAGCAGGTTTGTTGAGCTTCACAAAAATTGAATGCATAGATACTGTACAAATGTGTCAGCTATTGCAAAGATAAGAGCTATTGCAAACCAACATTACAAAACTTTACATAATAATTGAATTCAAGAAGATAGTACAAAACCTACTGATAGATTGATTCAGTAGCATGGGTAACAATAAATGTCAACAGTGCTTGCATTTCTGTAAAATGGCATAATACAAAGCATGTATAGTACAGTAATTTACTGATGTTACATTATATACACAAATATATAGTGGTGTCAAATTATGGAATAAAGGCATCCATTTGTCTGGAAGAAAGTAGAGAACAGGATTTAGAATAATAATAATAAAAAAAAAAAAGCACATTAAATATTTTGTCGTTAAGATGACAATGGAAAACAAATTAACAACTGACCTTCAATTCCAACTAGTGGAATGTAATGATTCCTACCCGAGCTGCTCCAAGCAATGCATAGAGGTTTATTTAGTTGGCCATCTTTGTCCAAACATTCTTGTTTGTTGCAAAGGGCTGGCAGGAACACACCTGAAAAGGAAGATGTAAATCACTTGAGGACTCTTAAATGTTAAAAGCAATGGTTCATAATCCAAAGTTTATAAAACCTGCTAGCATTTATTAAATCATAAAAAGACATTAAAAAATAAATACATCTCTTGATATTTAATATTAAGTCATTATTTGACTAGACTAATATCTAGGTAAGGGGCTGGGCTCCCTGGACGCCCACTCTCATATTCAAAACTTATTACAACTGTCTACTACTGATGTTGTGAATTAGGTTACTCATTTCATATAAACACCTTGACTTAGCTGTGAGTTAATACTTGCTTGGCAACCCAGACACAAGAATTAAAAGTTACCTTATTCCTACATTGACACCCAAACTGGACAAATATGGTAACAACAAGGAATTGTTGATACTCATCAAAGCAATCAGTAATTGACAATAACCAGTGACAGCAAAGCACAGAATGAATAGCATCACAACCTCTCATCAATATACAGAGAGTTGAACAGCAATATCGTCTTATTATGCATATTTGTGTTGGACAGACAAAGAGAAAAGAAATTTTTTTATGATAGATCATCATATTTTAACCCATCAATACTTGTTCAATTTTCAATGTCATTCATTCAACTCAAGAAGTTTTGTTTTAATAAGAGGTCAACTGGCCCCAAAATATTTGCAATATATTCTTGAATGATGATGATGAACTGGAACATTGAACAGAGGACCTAGAGGTTCAGAGGATTAAGTAACTTCTTTTCTAAATAAATTGATATTTTAATGGCAAATGAGGTTTTGATGTTTATTATCAACTTATCCCACTTCGTCATACAAAAAAAAAGGATCAGTGGAAAAGATTCAAAAAGATAATGTACACATGGCATATACATTAAAACAGTATTCTGAACAACAAACAAAGGTATGATAATTTGTATAATACAATGTATTAACAAAAAAAAAAAAAAAGAACTACTCTATAATATAAAATGCGGTGTGATTTATTGGTCATACAACCTGGTCTTACTATTTATTAATGTGATATTCCATTGTTATGTTAATGCAGACACAAATGGAAGAATGCTTTATGTTACCATAACAATGAGACAATTGCTTTTTTATTTCTTTTGTTTTGTGTGAATTTTGTTTGAATAATTTTATTTTTAATAATTTAAAAAGCAGAATAAGACATATTCAATAAGAACTCAGAGAAAAATCTGTCCAGCGAAAAACATTATTTTATTTTAAAAAAAAAAATTAAAAAAAATGTTTGTTTATCACTTATTAAAAAAATATATAAAAATAAAAATGTTTAAAAATATAAAATTAAAGAACTTCTATAATAAATATATGTAAATAAGTCATTTAGTTTCCTTTTCTAAAAAAATAAAAATAAATCAAATACCTATTCACATATAACTGATATTTTTTGCATCAGTGACTACATAGGAGACATTACTTATACTACTTGCTATAACTTTCTTGTTTCTCTGCAGCACTTGATGTTCTTTTGCCCTTTTAATTTCTTTCTTGCCATTTTGTTTTATTGATTCAAGTGACTGGAAAGGATCATAGTCAACCAATTCTCCTGCATTCTCAACCCATCAACACAATTGAGGCCACAAGTCATTCTCGGCAACTTGTGTTACATAAAACAGCATAATTTTTACAATGGTAAACAGAATGTTATTTGTTGAATACAATATTTGTGAAGTATTGAATATAAACAAGAAGATAGAGAGCAACACAAAGTTTATGATAGTTCAAAAGCACAAGACAATTGCAAAATTACTTAATTATACTCTGCAAAATTTTTAATGATACAGAGAAGCTACCATGTTTCAGATGCAAGTCAATGATTCCACAATAAAATTGGTATATATATATATATATATATATATACATACATGAGTTGAAATCAAATAGGGATCGGTGTCCAACTGAATAAGATAAAGAGCAAATAGGTAATTTTTATCAATCTAACATCTTTCACTTTTATGGAGACAGAGGGCTGGTGCAGTCACAATTGTCAATTTAAGATCTTCTTATTTACAGCTCCACAGAGCAAAAAAAGCTGTGGAAATACCAGTTGGTTAATTACCAAGGAAAAATGTATTGTCTGACCAGAGTAAGATTTGGGCTGAACTCTGCACTGAAGCTAAGCAGCCATTTTAAAAACAATTCTGGATAAAGATAAGAGAATTGGAGAAGCTACCAGTTATTACACTGATATCTTAGTTGATAAGTTAGTAGTGACAGTAGAAAAAATGTGATATCATCTTGAGACCTCTGGGTCATCTGCAAAATCATCAGAATGTCGACAGAGGCTGTACCTAAAAAAATTGATGGCAGAGAAGGGGGTATTTCCACCTACATTTTACACGCGCGCGAGTTTACATACCTTCCTTCCACACTTGTGCGTGTGTGCACGCGCCCACGGATTGCACCCCTTCCTCTCTCGTTAAGCTAGTTGTAGCAGTAAACAGCCTCTTTTGGCTGGAGTGAGGAAGGTTGCTTACTGGCTGCTCCTGATAAGTCTAAAATCAGAATTTGAATTTTTTTCCCGCACGTTGCCTGACAACAGACGAACAGCGTTTCCAACCCAGTTGCGGCCTGATCTTCAAGCCAGACGGTTCACTCATTTATTCCGTGCCCCTAACCCATACGCGGGCTGGAATATCTTATTCCTAACTAACCAAAATTTCAACATGTCGATAATATATTTTTTCCAAGACTTATCCCCATCTTGATGCAACAGCTTGTTGAACCTTTTCTCCGTTTTCAACTAGAAAATGTTGAGTTCCTACGACACCGTCGTCAATATATTTTTCCAAGACCAACTTCTTGTCTTGATGCAAACAACTCTGAATTCTCCTCAATGAAAGTTGATAATATGTTCATACACCTTTGAACCTTCTAACTACTTTGAACCAGTACCTAAAAAAATATTACATACACTCACACTATCAAACTTCACAGTGAGTACTTTTCCTATTTGTGTACACATACACCTTTCGTTTAACAAGTCATTTTTCCAGAACTTTCTTTCTGATGAAACTGTTCCCGCCTTGTCCATCTTGGTGTTCTGTTTTGGCGCGGAACACTTTTACTAATGGTCTCAACTGTCAAGACAATTACTTGTTTAAATATAATAAAATTTCATATATGTTTTTCAACCAGACGCCTTTTGTCATTTAATTCCGGCTATCTACTTGTATTATATTTATGCAGTTGTTGAATGACCCCTTTTCCTCACTAAGTTCACTCACGCAATATTTCTACTTTGTTTGTGGATTCGGTAGTTTTGTGTAGTGTCTGGCACAAGGCCACCTTTTAATAAACCAGCACTGCACGCTACCGGGTCTGCAACACCCTAACTGAAGCAGTCTTCTGTTATAACACCAAGATTGAACCACACAAAGGATTCAACCCCTCAAATGACAATTTATACATATGAGTGGAGACATTCCCAAGCCACACCAATGAATTTGTTTGAATCAATGAATTCTGAGGTGCAAATTGAAGATTATGGATGAATCACTCAACACCTGTGACACATCCGAGTGGAAAATACGAATGGCGACCAATGTGCAGTCTCTAAATAATATATCAGTCAACAGAGCATATCACTTGTCACTGTATATATAAGATATGCCACCATATATATATGGTGGCATATCTTATATATACGGTGGCAAGTGATTTCTTTTATCTGACAATAACGCAGGTGATAAGGAGCAAAGAGGTGAGAATGAAAGTCAACAAGCCTCAGAGAACAAGGTGACTCATGGAGAAAAAACTATTTTTGATCATTGAGAAATGATCCTGAAAATCATAAAAATGAAGAAAGGAACTGTCAGTTTTTTTTATTTTTGTTTGATTTTGTTTAGTGGCATATCAACACCTCTATGGGTTATTTAATGCTGAAATCTAAATATTTTGAATACAATTTTGATAACTTCAACTACAGATAAAATGTATTGTTGGTGTTTTTTTATATAAAAATGTATTGCTGGTATTTTTACTATAAATATGTATTTTTATATTTCCATAGTTTTTTGGGGGGTGGGGGCTCACCATTTCCCTATAACTGGGACCCTAACAGGTCTGAGTCATCAGCTGCATTGAAATGTTGTTACATTGCCAATACATTTACATAAATGTGTAATGACATGAGGCATTAACATGTGTTACAAGACTGGTTTTTGATTCAGGACTCTAAAATAGAGTGAGCAAGTGACATATTGGAAAACAGATTATAAAAATATTGTGACCGACATCAACTTATTGTAGGTTTAATAATTTTATATCTTAATATCTTGTTTCCCTTTTGAAGTTATATCTTTCTTTTACAATTCAAAGCAATCTTTCTATATATGAAATTTTAAAAATAAGTATATTATTATATATGCTTATTTAAATCACGGGGAAGAACTGTCAATTGGCATAATAAAATCTCACATTACAAATAATTTTCTTGTGGACACATGGCCCAGTGGATAAAAGTGTTTATAGAAGTAATCCAAAAGTGACTTGACCCAAAGAGTTGTGAGTTCAATACCTGGCCATTTGTAGATTTGAGTTACTAAAGGAAATTAACTGTAAATTGAGATATTCAGAAAAGGCATGGCATGTGGAACTAAAACAATCTATCCCCGTGGACTAAATAAAGGGTTCAGTTTGAAATTTCAATGTATATCACCGGAAGAAGGCCAAAGCATACAACGGCTGAAACATCATGATGAGGACAACAGTCTGAACAATGTAAATAGTTATAATACCTCATCTCAAATACAGACAAACTACTAAACAAGTTGTAAATATTTTTTAAGAAAAACACATATATAAGCTGAAATTCACATTCTTATAAATATGTATATCCTGAAGATTTTATCAACACTGGTTGTATACTAAGGATGTTATATTAGTGGGAAAAATGGATGCAGAGTCACTTTGCATACACCAAAGGGATTCTCTGCCTTATCTCAGCTTTGGGCAACAGCAGTTTAATAGAAACATCCTACTAGTATAGCCATCTATATTTGTACATTAAACAGATGCTAAAGCTGCAAAAAGAGGACCACAACATGTCAACCAAAAAACTATTTATATTTATATTTTTCTACCCTCAAAAAAGTTTTTTTAAATGTTTTAAAACACTGGACTATAAAAGGCATTTAGTTTACATTAGAACTGAACTACAGAAGGCAGTCAATTTACATTAGAACCAAGGTGGTCAGAAGAACGCATAACTTTGACTTGGAGATTAAAAAGCAAAACAAACCAAAATATGTTATAAGTTTGTTGAATCTTTATCACTGTGATTTCATTTGTGGCACAAAAAGTTTATCCTGCCACTGAAGGTGACTGATCCCTGAATTTTAACTTGTTTGAATTTCATAGTTGTGTTGTCATATCCTTCTATGACAACAGAAAACACTCCTGAGTGAAATTAACAATACGGTTACTGCAATAGAGAGGCCTTGAAAAAGAATGCAGTGGAAAGGGAAGAAATATTAATAATGCAGAGCGCTAAAGGTTAACTTTGACATTTTAGTTTTTCAACTCAAACAAGATAATTTATAAATAGACAAGTTGCATCAAGATCATATCGTTCAAGCTAAAATACCAAACATTAGATACAATTTTTCTCCGAGACTTACAAAGTCTCTCCTCTTACCCAAGAAATGAACAGAAGAGCAGGAACTTACCTGAATAATCACCTGAACTGTTCATCCCATCAATAGAATCCAATAAAACAATTGGACGCTTAAGTACATTGGCTAAACCAAATATGTGGATATTCCGGAGTCCAAGCAGCTCACCTTCACGAGGAACAAAGTCTGGTTTGCACTCGTCTATTATCTCTTGCCATTCAGAAAGATAAATGAAATCCTGAAAGTGCATTTTGTACAATTCCAACTTCTCTTGGAAATGAAGTTGTAAGTTCTCCCTGAGAGCATGCCAGAAAAGTTCACGGCCAACAAGAGCTCGAGAAATGGCATGGACTAGACAGTGTCCATCACCATCAGCATGGATTGGCACAAGTCGTTCATCGTTTGCATTAGCCTTTTTGATTTCACACAGGGTTTCAGCTAAATAGTCAAGGCTACCCGTAGTGTCACAGCCATAGCCAGGGACATTGAGGTTGCAAGGTTCTATGAGAAATGCCCGGCTACTGAGACGACTGCAATCGAAAATCTCACCCTTGCCCATTTGGGATAACAATTTTGCCTCGCCCGTGTCCTTGGTCATTCCATAACGGGTCAGCAGGGGAGATAACAATTTGCACATGTAGCAGGAAATTCCATTCACTTTGGTGTCTCCAGGTTTCTTAGATTCATGGAATGAAAAAACATCTGTAATAGTCTCTTTCTTGTGCTGCTCACCACATGATTGGCAATAAACAGTGGTGGCATCTGAAGCAAACACCAAATTTTCCTTACAGTAGACATTTGGACAGGAAACCGACAACAATTTCCGGGTCATTGTTTTCATGTCCAAAACTTTAAGACAACTATAAAAAATACAAAAATGTAAAACATTCATGAGAAAACTTTATAAGATAGAAACTGTCAATTCAAGCAACATTTAGACTTTAAAGTGTTTTTTTTTTTTCTTTTTGCATCATATTCAGATAAGAAAATGTAATTAAAGATGTTTTTGTTCATCAAACTCTAAAATAAGTAAAAAAATGTCTTTGAATGATTTAAACTTCAGTTATTTTGAATTGGGTTGTCCAAAAAGTTTATTCTGATGATGAAATTCTTTCAAGATTTTCCAATCTTGTTACTGACTAGAGATTGTGGTGATTTTCTTCAAAGGCAATGGAATAATTCTTTTCTTTTTTTTTTTTTTTTGTAAGTTTAAGAAAAAAAAACAGTAGAAAGGACATCAACGTATGGTTTCTGCAAAGAGGTGAATAAATTATTTCAACTTGTTAGAGAATGTCATCAGGAACTAAAAACAAAAAATTGGCAATAAGTCATCCTCAGTTTTTCTTTACTTATTGTTAGAAGTTAGAGAATAGTAAAAAAAAGTATTATCAAAAAATTTTAGTTACTTCTGTGTTTAAATGTAAAAGTGCTTTACAATTTTGAAAACAGAATTCTATAGTCTCTTCTTATTTATGATAGTAAAATTAACATTTTTAACTAACAGAGCATAAAAAAGAATGGGTTTGAAGTTTCACAGTACAAAACAAATAATGGGCGTGTGCATAGAGACAGATTTAAGGTGGCAGAGAAATATAAGTAAATAACAACTTTGGATTGTTCCATATCTGTCCCTCTCTTTCTTGACTTTTTGAGTTTCAAATAAAAATCATTTTCGCTAAAATTTCTGTTTGTAAGGAGTGGCGGTAAAAGGCGAAATAATTTTTCTATATTTAGTCGATTTATAAAAAAATAATAAAAGGTAAAATAAAGTAATAATAAAAATAATGACTAAGAATGCAAATAATAAAAAGTTGTTTTCTCTCTCCTTAACTTTCTGGTCGAGTGATGAATCTTCAGTCGACTCTCTACTATTATTATTTATTACGCAATTCTTTTTTTTTTTTTTTTCCACTGCTTGTATTCCATTAAAACACTAACAGCTTAATATTTTGAATTTATTTTTTTAAAAGAATAATAGATAAACGAACAGGCTTGGCTTTCTCCTCTCATTTTAAAAATAAATATACACATACTCTGAGCGATAAAAAAAAAAAAAACTATCAAAATTACATCAACGAAGTCGAAACGTAAGGATTAGTAAGGAAGGATATTTTCCATTGAGTTTTTTTTTAGTCTAGCAATATATAGCAAAATCGGTAGTTACAATATAAATAAACTTGTAAATAATTATGGCAAACAATGCAATTTATTAAGGTGTGTGTCAGTTTTTATCTTTTTTCACAGTAAAGATAGACTTACTGTTTCAACAGTTTGTCCAAATGGAGCTTGTTTTGGGTTGACTGGTCAGGACCTGATTCAATAAAGTCTCGTAATTTAGGTTCCCAGAGGGTACAAACAAGAATGTTTTTGTTTTGAATTTTTACTCAAACCAAAAGCAAAATCCTATTAAAATTTATCTCAAGCTTTCTACGACGTTTACAAATTTCCAATCTTATTTTTAGTTTTACCTGGAATTTGCTATTGATCGTCTCTCGTTTTTGTTTCACATTTGTTTTTATCATTTGTGTTTTACTTTTACTTTTAGTAAAGTTTTAACTTAAAACTTTCAAGTAAAATAAAATTTTGAATCTCTCTCTCTCTCTCTCTCTCTCGTTCACAAATGATAAAACAACAAGAGAAATGAAAGAACATTTTATTTTGTTTTTAAATGACTCACATTTTCTTTTCACCACCTACGCAACCTTATTGCGATATTAAAAACTGATTATCTTCAAATTTTTTACTAAATGTCTACTTATCAACTTGAACAACAGGTAAATTAATAAAAAGAATAGGAATCTTTTAAAAAATGATTCGGTGAGACTAAAAATATCAACAGATATATTCGGTTTTTTAACTTTTTTAGCATTTTCAATCTGATTTTTGTCTACTTAAAGTGACTTTTCTGTTTTTCAAATTTTGATACTTTATTACAGACGATGAATGAAATTTCATTTTTTACTTACGGAAAAATAGCTAAAAAATTTATATTGCATCCCAAATGCAATTTTTCATTTTATTTTGAATACGTGATTTTGTTTTCTTTTGGAACAAAAGGAGGGTTCATAATATGAGCCATATTAAAGATGTTGCTGTTCGATGTAAGGGAGATAAATCAGTATTTGATAAAAGTTGTTTTGAAAAGTTAAAACTGATTACCATCACCTGGCAAAATTATGGGATTAGCACAACTAGATGTTCACTTTTGGTTTAACACTAACATAAGACGACGCAACTTTTTTATAATCGCTGAACATTCTTGTTTCATAAAATATACCTTAAACAATTAAATTTAATTAATAAAATTAATTTTAATGGAATCATTTTTTTCAAAACCATAGGAAAAAATTATTGAATCACCCAATGTGGATCAAAAAATTATTGAATGATCTTTTCATTTGCATTCCTAAAACAAATACAAGCAGAACGAATCAGTCAATAGTGAAGAGACCTCAACAAGCAATTTGGTATAACTAATTGAAACAAAACACAGGTCCAAATTGTCAGTTGAAAAGATTGTAAAACTTGGATGAGATTTACAATCCAAAGTGGCAAAAAGTGTTGGCTGTTCCTAGTCAGCTGTGTCTAAAATCTGGTGCAAATATACAAGAAATGGAATGGTTTAGAAAAGAAAAAAAAGCATACTGGTAGACCACAAAAGACACCAAATTGTCAACATAGAAAACTCAAAACAACGTGCTTGAAAAATAAAAAATATAGGAGTCGATATTTGTGATAGAATTGTAAGTAATCAGCTAAATAAATGCCAAACGGAAACCAGCACTAACACACAAAGCCAAAGAAAATGATGTTAAAATGGGCTCAACAGAAACAATCATTCAGCATTTTTAGGCAACAATATCACTCTTTTTTCTATTTCTTCAAGTGAACATTCATCAAAAAGTTCAGCAACAAATCAGCCATGCTGCAGGAATATCATCTGGGAGAACCTCATTAAGAGTGCAATGGAGAGAGTGCCATTTCCAAGTTGAAGGCACCATTTAGAGAACTGTTGTTCATAATCATTTGCTCTCATATTTTGGGTTAGCCTGAGTTGCAGGAAATAATGTCATATATTACATTGTTTCTGGCAAGCATCTACTACGGCAACAGGAGGAGCCTGAATAACAACTGGGAGAATTTGTCTGCAATCTCCAAGCAGGATCACTTTAATGCATCATAAAAGTTCATTTTTGTCTCCTGATTAAATATGTAGTGCTGAGGTATCTTGCAGTACACAAACTCTTTAGCAGCTGCATGTAGTTGATTTAATTTAAACCATGCACTTAAGTGCATATCATGGTGTTGTGTGCTTGACTAGCAGCTTGCACTTTGCAACCTTCTTGATAATACATGGGTTGTCCTCCAGGTAAGTGCCAAGCTAAATATACTATATGGGACTGTCAATGCATTTTGTACTCTGAGAGATGCCACATGGCTTCTGGAGGTGAAACATATCTGCTTGATTTGTCCTTCTCCTCCTGCAATTAACTCCCGGATATTGATTTCCATCATTGCACAGTCATGTCCTATCTACACATATCTGAATATGTATTTAATGCTTTTTACTGAAAAGCACACTTCCAACTTAATATGAGCTTGCTATTTTTTCAGAAGATACTTGTTGAAAGGCACTACATATCACTTATCTATGTGATAAATTCCTACTTGTACAGTTTCTCTCCATTATTACGTCTTTATAGACAGGATAATCTTCAATGTTTTCAGCAGTTTCTTCCATAAATGACTTCAGGAAATTTTTATGCCACTGACAATTCACCATGCAGAGAGAGGTAGGGCTGTATGTTCCACAAGCACCATGTATCATTAGCATTCTTACCAATTCTTGAAGCAGAAGCTATTGTCTCCTTGGAATTTCAGCAGAAACAATTATGTCAATTTGTTGTTTTGTTCTGATTTTATCTTGGCCATTAAGCATCATTAGCATATGAGGAAGGATCTCTTTTTAAATTTGGTGACATGTATGTGAACTACAACAGACCCAGTATATGTCTATCCTTAATGTCAACTATAAGCTCATTAAGGTGAACTTTATAAACATGCACGTGAGTAAGTCAGGTCTGCATTTAGCCATTTCTGATGGGCCAAGGTTGTCAGTTATTTATGAACACTAGACTGCATGTATATGTTGAGAATAAATCAAGTTTACCTTATTTGCAAACAATTACCATTGCATCTTGGTAAGAATGTTGCATATTTCTGGGGTTTCCCGACAATGAAGATGATAGAATCATTGAAACTCCAAGATCACCACCATTAGCATTTCTTGGTAAATGATCCATAGAGCCAGAGTATGAAGCCATTCTAAGCTGAATTTGGTTATTCCTGATGAAATTTAGATGGCACCCCTTCAACTTTGACATAGGCATCAACTATATATTGCTAAAATAATTCTGAACAATGTCTGGTGCTAAAATTATTTCTTATTACCAAACAATAACTATAATACTGTTGCATGGTAACTTATTGCATACTCTTGTTTGGCGTTCTTTGACACAATTCATGTTTATGAGTGTCATATGCCCTACTTGACGAATAATTTATAATGCAATCAGACGCCGACCAGGAGATATATACATTATCATATCTATGGGGAGATATGGGCTATCTCTCCCAGACCATGACAAATGGACAATTAGTAAACAAAAATATTTAAAAGAACACTGTTCAATTGGGATAATCAAACAGTAATCTTTTCCCAGGTTCGCTTCAGTTTCAACACAAATACTGATCCACAATTCAAGGATGAACGATAAGGTGTAATAAATTTTGGTATAAGAATTTTAATATGTACGTATACACAAGATATTAAAATAAAAGAAAAATATAAGCATGAATA